AATCTCATCAAAGTAGTGGAAGCTTCCTCATCTGATGATGCAGAAGGTGGCCGAGTGCCTAGACCAAAGAAGGTGGCAAGGACTGCTACGTATTCTGGTCTGACGGGGTTTAGAAGTAGTAAGCAGCAGCAGCCTGATAGTGGTGATGAAAGTAATGAAATGATGCCAGTGCCACAGAATGGTGATTTAGGAGATTCGTGGCTTGTCGATGGTAATATTTATGAACATGCGAGACACGTTAATGAGGCTGGGAGGGCGTCTACTGAGACTCTGGCTTCGAAACTTGCACTTGCACATGCTCTGTATACGGGCTTATCATATGTATGTATTTCGCTGGTTATAAGCTCATTTATGATCTTTCGACCATGATAGAGTCCATACTCACACATTCTATTGCCTTTAGGACTTGGAATTCGGCCGAAACCACTACTCGAGTACTGCCACTAAACGACCGTTGAAGGCCACCCTCCTCCACGAGCTCTCCTCCACCGACGCAAACTCTAGCACCAGCAGCATAAGCTCCAGCCTCGAAAGCACCCAAAGCATCCGCACCGACACAACCAACATAAACGCAGTCTCAAAGCCCCTTCGACACAAATCATCCACAGCAAGCACATCATCTGCACCAGTCATACTCAGTGGCGCACCACAGCAAGAATCATTACAAGTATCACTACCAGCTTTCCCAATGGCACCGACATCACCAACATCATTCACAGACAGCACTGCCACAACACCAGACTTGGAGTCCCCGACACTCGTATCGCCTGTTGCTCGGTCACAGTCTGCACAGCCTTTGTCGTCGTCGGTCGACGTGTTTGTGCCTGGAAAAGGATGGTATGTTTTGCTAAAAACGTTTACGGCATTACCTTACGTTAAGCTGACCCTTTCGCTTAGGGCAATGACTCCTCCACGTGGCATATCACCCCACGCAGTAACAGCATCTCTCGTCGCACATCGCAAATCAATCAACGCAAACGCCGGCGGTGCTGATATGTTGGATTTGCCATATGCTAATTGGCAGGAGGGCGGACCGTTGGTCAAGAAAGTCAGTGCTGCGGATGCTATATTGGCTGCTGGGAGTGCCAAGAGGGCGGATAGTATTAGTATGAGGGTTGCAGGCATGTTGAGAGGTGGAAGTGGTGGACAAAATATGAGATTGTCGAGTGGTGGTAGCAGTGGGGCGTCTTCTGTTGTTGGGAGTACTGTAGACGAGATTTAGGACGTCCAAGTAGTGTAAGCGTGACGTATAAAGATGTCAGAAACAATTATAAAGGCTGCATATATAGGAAGCCAACCACACAATTGTCCATAAAAGAATGTATATACATGGTAAACTTCAATCTAAGACAGACGGTGTGTATGCAAGTTCGATTTAAGAGTAGGTCAACACTTCAAGTCGGGAAACGTGCAACCTCTCAAAAGATTGAGGGCAGAAACAACGTTTGAAGATGTCTGAGCAATGATAACAGCGTTATTAGTATCTGCAAATTCTTTGTGTTTATAAAACTCTTATTTCACGTTTAAGTATAGGCATGTGTGGTTTTAATATAAATATTGCCCCATATAATCACTTGGAATCACTATTCAGCAGATTTCTGTACTTGATCCGTCTTCACCTCATCAGAAACATCGTTACTGCTACCAACACCACTACCACAACTCTCATTATTGTTGCAATTGACGACAACTGGAGTGGTTTCAGTAGCATTAGTGGTAGTACTTCCATCACTATTGTTATTACTACCAGCAGCAGAATTAGCTCGTTGTTGCTGTTGTAGCTGTTGAGCAACATACAAGGTCTCTGCTCGAATGATACGGTTTACAGTACTTGCCACATCGTCATCAAAAGATATAGCCCTAGCTGGGAAATCCAGTGTAAATCCCATAGTCGCACCTAGACGATTCACTGACGGCTGTGTTGATACAAAAGGTGCTGGTGTGGGTCTTGGTAGTAAACCACGATACCCAAAGTTGCCTGCTGGACGAGGTGGGATTCCACGTCGTCTCATGTTTTGAGCTGTTCCATACATATTGTCTGCCATACTTGCACTGCTACTGCTGCCTCCGCCACCACCGATGCTGTTGCTGTTGCTAGGCAAACTGCCAGCTTCGACACCACTAGTGTTACTACTACCTCCATCACTATTACTGCTACAACTATTTTCTGCTGTTTGACTACCAGTACCATTGTTCCCAGCAAGATACATGCTATTACCATTACTTGCTAAAGTAGGAACATATGGTGTGAAGACCTCTTCATCAGACAACCAATCATCAGCATATGGTGAATGTCGGCGTGGACCTACAATGCCTCTTTCATCTCGAAGCCTTTGTGGCCAAGGAGATGATCTCGGGGTTGCTGGACTTTTTGGATTATTATTAAGAGGTGGTAAGGTGGGATATCCATCAGTCATCACACCACTAGCACTATTGTTTTTGTCGCTGTTGTTTGTCATTGGATTCATTCCTGATGTCGTTGGTGATGACGATGGATTTCTGGGATTGGGACCAGTTGGAGACAGAATTACAGCCGTTGGTAACGGAGGAGGTAACTGAGAAGGATTGGTAAAACTACGTTTATCGGTTGTGTAACTATTACTATCATCATCACCATCATTGTCGTTTTTGGTAGTCGTAATGTTCTTATTGTTGAGCTTGAGAGAGCCAATCTCATCTTGTTGTGCAGTTCTTGCAGCTTGAGCAGTCTCTGTTGTTGATCCTTGTCTCGTTCCAACTCGATTACGGTATGTCCGACCTCTCAGTGTTTCCTTATATTGAGACGAAGACGAGAACGGATCAAACTCGTCATCAGAGGAAAAATCAAGTCTTCCTCGTCGCCTCTCCCAGTCATCAATCTCGGAACTACCTCCTCTCATCAAATGAGACGATGTCATCTTTCTAGCGAATACTTTTCTGGGTCGGGGCCCTGCATTTCTGGGTTGTGGTAACGATAACGATGCGGATCTACTACCGGGTTGTAAACTAGGTGATGGTGGATTGGTGTTACCAGGACGGTTATTTCCTGCATTGCCAGTACCGTTATCTGCTATGTTCGTGGTAGCCTCTCCAGTGGTATAATCATCATGTGGTTCTGTGACTATTGGAGTTACTTGAGCAGCATCCGTTGGACCGTTTTCTGGCGTAGCCGGTTCTAGATCATCGTCAATAACAGTGATGGTGGGAGTGTTATTGGTATTGCCCTGATTGTTGTTGACCAAGTTGGCACTATTATTGTTATTGGTTGCAGCATTCACGAGTTGCGTAAAGTCACCAAGCTGGTGAGGCATTCCGGGAGCTGGAAGCACGGGCTCGAGTCGTGCTGGTGGAGGCAATGCCCACTTGACATCACAGCCTCTAGTTACCAATGGTTGGATGCAAGCTCTGCTCACTTTACCGCACAAGGAGACATCTAGAGTTGTCAACAAGGTGCTTCCTTCAATCAATTCAGCAACACCACCACTTGTGAGCTCATTGCACGCGGAGACTCGTAGTACTCGAATACTATGACAGTGTTCCGCGATGGATGCTAGAGTGTTATCGGTGACGCCCTTTGTACATTTATGGGCCGTGAGCTGTTCAAGTAGTCTACCACGAGTCTTTATATATTCCATCATTCCATTCTCCGAGATTTCTACACATCCAGTAATATTGAGTCTAGTGATTACTAGCTCCGATTTACGGATTGCGTCTAAAGCGACATCAGTGAGTAGCGGGCATTCTCTGAGAACAAGATGTTGCAAATGCGGGAGCTCTGTGAGCTTTGCGACTGTAGCATCTGATACAAGTTTACAAAATGACAAGTTGATTGTGTGCAAGCGAGGGCATGCATTGACCATGTTGTTAACAAAGTGGTCTGTTACCCAGACACACTTGTAGAGAGAGATGGTTGATAGTTTTGGAGTGTCAAATGCTAGATTTGTTACAGTTTGACGTTGCTCAACGTCACCCATTACTGACAAGACTGAAAAGTTCAAATCCTAGATGTGAACGTAGTTGTGAGTAATTGAAGACTTGGCGTTGAGACGGAGGGATTGATTTGCATCAAGGTAGTGGTAAGGCATAATGTTGTTCAAGGTCATTCTTGCAAGTAGCAAACCGAATGCCCGCCCCTACGACCTCAAGTTCAACCGATTCCTTCAGTGAATGTCCACACTAACCTGTACAGTATTAGCAATCCTCGCAAACCTTGGAAACTCTCCCTTCTTGGTCAAGAGTATCCTAAAAATAGTCCAAGCCTTGATACTCCCAAACATTGGGGCTCTCCACAGCACTTCATTGGCAGCCATATTGAATAATTTGCTCACAATCAAGCATCCTATATAGTTGGTTTGATGGTTAGATGTCTTGCAACCATAAAGAATGAATTTGCTGCCACATTACGAGTTAAAGCGCCTCTCTGGTGCTTGAGATAGGCAAATATATGAATGAGTATCTCTGGAGGGAGAGTAGCGACATTGACTGCGTTTTCGTCGTCCGTAGTAGGGTTGGCACTGTTTGGTGTGTTTGTAGGATTGTTTATGTCCTTGTCGGATAGGGTATTAGTGGCCGATGCTGGGACGTCCATTATTGGAATGATATCACGAGATGTTCCTGTAGCTTATGGTGCTCCTCTCGCGGCTGGTTTTCACTGGGTCAATGTTGGGTAAGAAATGAATGAATTGACAGAGAAAAAGAAGACACTCGCGCTCTGTAAAGATCAAACAGGGAAGTGTTAATGGAAGCATATAATCATGTTATTTCTTATTGCTTACACGTAATCCTACAGTGGGGAGAATCGACGTGGGGGCCTACTTTTGAGTTTGCTCGCTGCGGTTTGATTTCAATCTTGAACGACGATTCTATATCTATTGCAAGTTTTCAGTTTTCAGAGTCCAGAACGCGTATAGAACGATATTCCAGCCTGTTACCTCAACCTGCGCTCATCATCAACTCTCTCCTCATCCTCACAAATTTTCAAACTTCATTTTGCGAACGAGAACCGCATCACTTCTGACAAGATGGCTGACCTTGCTAAGCTCAAATCCATGCTGAGATCCATTCCTGATTTCCCTAAAAAGGTATGTCAACAGAGCCTTCGTGATTTCTTGTGTCGGCAAGATGTGTTCTGACGCATCCCTTCGCTTTAGGGAATCATGTTCCAAGGTAAATTGTACTGCTTACAAGCTGCTACCCCATCGTTTCTTTTCGTTCCTTGTTGCCTGTTTGTGTTGGATGATGAAGCTTATCTCACATCCTGCTCCAACAGACATCTTCCCCATCTTTTTGGATCCTCTCGCTGTTGAAGTCAGTCTCGCTGTCTCTTAACGTTCAAATCACACATTATACTGAACCTCACTCTTCCAGATGCTCGTGACGCATATTACCCATCACATCACATCCTCATTGGGAAAAGTCGACGTGGTTGTTGGTAAGCACCAACAGTGTTAGCATGTATCATCCAATGCTAACTTTCCTGTGTATATAGGTCTTGATGCACGTGGATTCCTCATTGGTAACTAATAAAACATCGTTGGCACGAAAGCTATTACAGACGTGTTCTCATAACACCATACTAGGCCCTACCATTGCAATGAGAATCGGCGCTGCTTTTGTCCCAGTACGGAAACAAGGTAAATTGCCTGGTGCTACTCGCTCTGTGGGATATGAAAAGGAGTACGGAACGGTATGTCTTCATGACGTTTCTCACTGTTTCATTTTGCGTCGTGCAACACGATGCTAACGTGGAACACAGGATTTCTTTGAAATGCAAGAAGATTCCATCAAGCCAGGACAATCTGTACTCATTCTCGATGATTTGATTGGTAAGAGATCACTTCGTACAAAATGAGCACAAAAAAAGGACATATTGCTATACTTACTCACTATTTTTCACTATAGCAACCGGAGGATCCGCTAAAGCTGCAGGCGAGCTAGTCAAACTATTTGGTGGAAAAGTAATTGAATACCTCTTCTTTATCGAATTGACTGCTCTAAAAGGTTCCAGTAAGCTAGACGCTCCAATCTACTCGTTAATGAAGTTTGACGATTAGAAGGCAAATCACTTAATATAGACACACTCATATACTGCAAAAATGCAAAGTGTTTACTATAAGTTACATTATTATGCTGGTTTTTCGTATACTACTCTTCTAGGGAAACAGCCATGACATCCAAGATATACTTCTAACTGGCCCCAAACCCCGTTCTTCCATACGCGCTAGTGCTCGAACTCGCCGAACATTATGTCTCACATATGAAGTCTTGCACGGTCCCATTCTCCCAACTTCCAATCCAACAAGATCTCTGCAACAAAGTCCCTCTTTCACGGATCCTCCAGCACAACCGATGCCTTGACCTTTATCCAAAACACCATTTATACCATTCGCCAACACCCTCCCAGATTTCAGCACACGCCGTTCACGCCCCGACAATCCCCAAACAACATCCATATTCCTCACAGGCAGATTTGAAAATTGAATCATCGTATCAGCCTTATACAACGTCCCCAGATGTGCCTCCTCTTCTATCGTGATTCCACACTCTATATCAGCATTAAGTCTCGGTCCACATATAATCGCATCCACAGAATCGATATCTAGCGATAAAACGTGTCGTAGAAACGGAATGCCTAGCATTGCAACAGGTATATCTATAGACCCGTCGATTTCGGCGTTGCTGCTTCCAGACATGGTGAACGGGCGATTATCTCGTGCTATTACTAGTAGGGCTGTTGCACCTGCACGTTGAGCAAATGTGGCCTTGTCTGCAAATGTGCATTGGCCTCGTAGCACGAGTGGAACTCGACCTGCGACATCCATATCCTTGTATTCTGCACATCCATCCCATAGCACACCATGTGCATCTAATAACGGCTGTAAAACAACATCCATCCATTCACCTGGCGCTACATCACGTCCAAAGGCAGCTAGCAGTGCGAAATACTGCCTGCCTTCTAGATATAACGAAATGTTTACAACAGGTGGATGCTGCACAATACTGGAATAATTGTGCTGTAAAAACGCCATGCCGAATTTGGGAGCTCTAATCACTTGTCCTGCTTTGATGATTTGACTTGTTTGCGGTTTTGCTGGTTCTGTTACGGATGTTATTATGAATGCATCTGGAGACGCAATGTCTAGCTCAATCTTCAAATGAAGGCCTGCTACACTTGCCGTGGCAAAACCGTATGAGAACTAGATGATATGAATGCGTTAGTATTGGTGAGGGTTAAAAATTCAGAAAATCAACGAACCCGAACAAGTTTTGCTGGCGGCACGCTGACACCAGGTGGTGGTTCAACTCTGAATAGTAAGGAGTCAGAAATGGTCAAAAATGGCAAGAAAAATCGCAGCTGTGAAGTCTTTATACCTGACATCAAAGGTCTGTCCACTCAGAATCATTAGAGGTTGCTGAGAAAGCATAACTTGCGTATTACACATAGCTTCATCTACAATCGGATCCATGTCCTCTGGCAATCCCACAAACCGATGTATGGCTTTCGTTTTCTCCATCGGTATCGGTGGATACATTCTTTTGCTTTTCAGCCTCTGATTCTGGAAGGAAAAGGGCGGTACAGGTTCTGGTGTTGGGCATGTCATCTTTCGTTCGTGTTGCCGTCCTTCAATATGTTGCGGTTGGTATGGTTGAGTATCATTATCTACATTATATGATGGATTGGTATAGATATATGGCAACACGAGCATATGGCCCTCTATAGAAAAAATGTTGAGTTGATAAGAAGTGAAACATGGTTCAAGGTTCAACTTCTAGAAGCGTCAATCGGGTGAAGCAAAGACACGCAAACACACCCGTTGAAAATACATAATTGGAATCCATGCGATTAAGCACATTGTCATCATCAAATAGCAGCATCAGATACTTTAAAGTCTCAGACAAGAAAAACGACTCCATCCTAGAATGTACCAACATGTAAATAATCCAAGAGCGACACAAAGAACGAGCACCAGTAGAGTGAATAAAGAAGTTCCAGATCCATTTTTTACCTATCAGCTCTAGTCTTGCTGACAACATCCGACAATGAAGCAAACCCACACTCTACCCTCATCAGCGAATTCAAATCATCCACAATCTCTTCTCCAACCTGTTGATAAAACGGATCTCTCGTAGCTCTATACAGCATATACGTTGACTCAATCAGCTCTGGCCGTAACGGATAATGTGGCACAATAGCACTGCGTCCTGTCCAATCGAATCGTTCAGGCAATGATTTGAAGCGTCGCCATAATGAGAAATAGAGGTGGTGCAGTCTTTTCGCGTTTTCTATATCTCCGTATAGGATCTGTAAGCCGGGAAAGAAGGCTGCAAGAGAGTCAACCCATGTGGTAGTCAGTTGACCGTTATCCATATTTACATTCTTGTACACAAATCCATTCGTGTCTCGCATGTGAGATAGGACTGCTGCGTAGGCTGTCTCAAACATGTCTAGGTATTCGATGTCGCCGAATAAGATGTAGGCTTTGAGGAGGTATTCGTACCAGGAATCAATGCCAGCCCCAATCCCGCTCATGGCATGAATCCACTATAAACTTTCGATTAGTTATTGCGAGGGATAAAGGCAAAAACGAAACTTTCAATTGCATATCCACACGCTGTTTTACCTTCCCAGTTTGAATATTAAGCGAATTTCCCCAAAGATCCAACTTTGACCTCCTCTCCCATATAGCTCTTAGCGCCTTTTTCGCCACCCTCTCAAACACTTTATTCCCAGTCAGCCTACTCAATATCCCAAACTCCAAAATCAACGTTCCCGCACCAGCCGTGCTAATAGGACATGAAAATAAATTAGTTAAAATCTGGACAATCTTTCAGCATAGTCAAGTTCGGAAACCAACCAAGTATCGTTAACCTCCCATGGCAGCACCCCATACATCAAATTAACCCGCGCATACGGAATCCCTGTTGGCGAAGCATCAAAAGCTGGCAACAATTTCTTTCCCAACTCTTCAGCTAGCGCCAGCAATTCGTTATTGTATCCAGCGATTCGGTAATCGGGAAAAGCTGGGTTTGTTGTGAGGAGATGAGCAGAGAGCAGACCTCCCAAGATACGAATTGTGGTTTCGAACACTTGCACACGGGAGTCAACGTCTAGTTGTTTGGGACCCCTAGATATTACGAGGTTTACAAGACGAGTAAAGTTTCCTGGATCGTTCATAACGACGAATGTGTCCAAAGTGTCGATCAATGTCACTGAGACTCCTGCTAGTACGTCGTTGACGTTACTAGGTAGCAGAAAAAAAGGTTGATAAGAGCACAGTTGTCAAAAGCAGCTCTTGCGTAATGAAAATTGGCAGGGGCAGAGCGATCAATTCGTGCTGTTGCTGTCCATCTCAGAATTCACACGACAGTTCCACCAAAACATGTCCCAACTCTTCGTCGTACATACAATGCATTCGGATTCGAATCATCTCTACTGCGTCCAGTACACGTAAGTGGATTCAATTCATCAGCAGGAAATCCATATTTCATGTAATTGTCCCAACCATGATAGAACATTTCCTTCACTTGATCTCTAAATAGAGTAAGCAGGGTTAGCGATCTGCATCAGTCTGGCTAATGGCTTGAATAATGATCTTTGTTGATCAAACACTTCCAAAGTTACCTCAACTCAAGACGACGTGAGTTAGAGATCGCTAACGATGGAGAACATGATATCCACAGCAGAAGCAGAAGGAAAACGTTCATCGTACGTCTTGCTGCCTATCTAGAATATGTGTCGCATCCCTATTTTCAAGTCCTCAGCAAGCTCTCTCGGTAGAATGCTAACTACTAAATTTCTCAGAGTTTGGTAGTGGTTCGGTTTGCAAGTCAAATGAAGTTCGCAACACTATAGTTCTCTAGTATTTCAGCCCATTTAACGCGATATTATTTGACAGCAGGAAGAGAAAACTATTTATATATATACAAAATAAACTATGAATTTGAGGTGTTTGATTGGCTAGTTGGTGGATTTTCGTACAGAGCAGCTTCAACAGAGGCATAATTTATATAATTTACCCGGGCCACATTGTAACTTACGCTCCCATATGTGGCATATTTTTGTGTGGTTTTGGTGTGTTTGGATCAGATGATTATATTTAGGGCGTTGGTTTGAGATGTTATGTGGGGCGCCACATAGAATCGTTATTAGGCAACGGCATGGCTCTGTTGGTCATTACGTAGTTTATAGATGGTAGTCGTTCTGCTGAAGTACTCGGGTTATATGAGGGTAATAAGGCTGGAGGCCCGTATACCACCATTGCTGATGAGGTCGACCTGGCTGGGCTAGACCATGGTAGAGGAAGAGTACGATTCCTAATCCAATCGTCAAAGAATAGACGCCTTTGCTGTTGCTGATCCACATCGGGGCCTGCATTGTTGGTGAGGCCGCGATTTGGTGGAAGTGACACTGATGGATTCATGATTGCTCCTACTTGCGTTGGCGAGTATGGATGATATCGGAGCCGTGGTGTCTGAGCTGGCAGTTGTATTGGATAGAGGAGGTCTCTATGTGGACTCCTTTCTACTGGAGGAGCCGTGGTTGGTGGCGTTAAGGGATCATATGTTATGGACTGCCAATTCGTAGCATTATATTGGTGTAGTCTGTTATTGTCGCCACTGTAGAGACTAGCTTCGGCTGTCGTTTGATACTCTGGTGTCACTGGCTCGCTTGCACTAAAAGCATGACGGTCGTGTTCAATCGGAGATCCAGACTGAGAGTGTGATTGACTAGGGCCTCCTTCTCGCTCTCTTATTCTGGATGTTTGTGCCGGGACTGGGATATCTCGAAGCAGCGGGTCGTCACTAGGCACCCTGAGTGTTTGTTTGTCTGCTTCAGCGTGATATGCAACCAGATGGTATTTTACGTTGTCTTCAGTCGTGATAGCAATGGTTTTCTTGATCAACCCATCATCCTTGACATCTGCAGCCAGGCGAGATTTTATTCCATGGCGGCTCTTCGATTCACTATACACCAGGAAGGCACCAGAGACACGTGACGGAGTCCTACACGCCGAATCAATGTTATCCACCTGTTGTTGATGGAATGTGAGCAATATATACATACCACTGTAGAGAATCGGTCCTACAAAACAGAGTAGTGAAACAATAGTGAGATTTGTCGTTTATGGTTTGCATGACACCATTGATCAGAACTCACCATCGTTTTATCCCAGAGGCCGTGCCGTTGAATACAAAGACAGCGCCAGACTTTATCAAGTTTAGTCTCTCCCCATCCGTCAAGCGTCGCTAGAGTAGACAAAAAGTGGGATGATGAGTACATAATAAGTTAGGTCGACAGGAGAGTTAAAAATCAATCAAAATACACAACAAAATGTAGACATGTGTACTTTGCACATAAATTAGACAGCACAGTCATCAACATGGGACGATGAGTAAAATGTGCGACAAACATGTTGCAGAGCTCGCACGTGATGACAAAGGAAGTGAAGGGACTTACAGCTACTATTGGAAGACGTCCTAGCCTACAGGCTTCAATAATGATCAGAGCCTCAGCAGTAGTTCCTACATATCCATTATAGGTAAGTTGAACTGGCTGTTCCATTGACTCATTGGGGGCAGGCGAATGTCGAATGCCGGGCTGATTGCTCCCCGGCGGAGCCGAAACGGAAGGGGATTCTGGCCTACTATGTTGTGGTGGTAATGGACTGTATCTTTGCATTGGTGTTTGATTATATGGTTGTATCGCTATAACTGAGAGTGACTTGGGAAACTGTTCCTGCTGTGTAATGACTATGCTTGCGAGAGACTGATGGCTGATTAACATAATCTGAGTAGCTTTGCTGTTACGATGGCCTTATTTTGGGGTCAGCAATCCACGCATCCTTTAGAGTTTGGGGGGTCTTGCGTTCCGTTTTTAAAAGACTTGTGCGCTCGGAGCGAGAAAAAAACTTGGGTAAACAATGGACTAAGGTCTAGGCTAGGAGGGGCGAATCGAGAATACGGACACTTGAGGCACTGATCGATGCCATTCGTTCGGCAATTTCCAACATCTACAGGAAATGCTGACCGCTGTCGTCCCCCCAAAGGTCTTCCCGTCAGCTCATGTACTGGTAATTGTCCGAGACAGCTCTTCGGTTCGACCAAAAATGTAATTACCCTGCATAAACACAAGCACGTAAGCATGTTAAAGGTTAAGGTTTGAGTCTGTTACAAAGCCCAATCTATTCGCCCTCTGCTACTGTCTAATATCATTGCCCTCGCTGCTTCGATCTCCACTATATTCAACCCCGTTGTTGTCACAAGCACCACAACATTCGAAACTTTAGCTCTTGCCCTGCCAATTTCATACAATTGCCTTACCACGTCCGGTTCATCTTGTTCCAGCTTGGAAAAGAGATATCGAAGATCCGTTGCCGAGACTAGCAGTTCCTTTACTGTGGACAGTCTTATACGGACATTGTAGAGTAGCAGTGTTCTCAGATTTATGCATGTTGACGCGATGGTATTTACTATTTTCAAACATTCAGGAGTAGGAGTCGAAGGGCTTCTTGGTCCAAACAGGACAAGCGATTTCAATTGGTGTCCTCTCTCTGTCATAAACCTAAAGAATCCACCACGAGCCGCATCTATGGTTCTACACCTTAACGACGATAGTTTGGGTAACTCCAGTTCGAATAGTCGAGCCTCTATAATGGTCTTATTGGATGGGAAGACATCCAGTAGCTCGATGAAGCGGGAGGATTGTTGGACTATACGGCTTAGATCGGCCGGAGACATTCCTTCCACATCTTCAATATACACTTTTCGAAGTCTGCGAGAAGTACTTCCTAGCAGTCTCATGAATACATCAGCCCCAAACTCTACACTGGAGAAAGATACAGACTCAAGATTGGGGAATATATCCATACTAGAATCTTTCAATGTCGACGTTGGCAATATCATGCCCGACATTGAGAGCTTGACCAGCGTCGAATTGCTTCTTGCCATGTTGAAGATTGGGAAGGATATCTCGGCTGAAGTCTCCAGTTTGAATTCCTTCAACTGCAGATGTTCCAATGCGTATTGAATGGCCTTGACATCCCTATTCAGTTCAATATTTAGGGACGTGATATTTGGGCACTGTTGGACTAGAGCCTTCCAAGCCTTGTCATCCCACTTTAACTATGCGGCCAATGATATCGTTAGTTTGGAGATCTTCAACAAAGCAAAAGCGTATTACCCTCATTGCTGTGAATGTAGTGAGGGCAATAGGCAGTAGATTCACATGGGATCTCAATGACTCGTGCCAATGTAGAGAGCTGAGATTAATACACTTAGGAAGCATTTCCGTAGGAGTTCTAATTGTAAGAAGGGTTTAATATCTTCATAAGAGAAAGCTGAGAGAAATCATGTGTGGACGATTTACCCTTCGCAAGAAATCATGAGTTCTTTGACATGCGACAGGGCAAGTTGGTTGTAGGTTGTGCCATTATTCAGCATTGCGGTCACAGATTGGATATGGGCTTGACTATTCATCGATACAGAACGATAAAGTAATGGGACTGCACATTCATTCACTTCCTTCGAGACGAGTGAGGAAGAGTATAGCGATTTGTGGTCTTCCTGGAGGAATGAGAGTATAACGTGTATCACGTCCGTAGGTATTTGGACTTCCAAAAGTTCGGCTGGAGCCATCTAGTGGAGCATCGTTTAAAATTTTAATCAAACGTATCACGCCCCAACAATAAAGATTTGGAGCAGGTCCAATCAGATGTGAATGTTTTGGTCATATATCGACAATATTTGTGAGCTTCTCCTCCCCAACAACACGTTCAGTGACGAAACCTTGCACCATTCCAAACATCACAAACAATTATAGATTTCGAGACGTACCAGCTTGCTAAAGATGAACGTCCAAAGGATTGCCAACAGTTACGATGATGAAGACATTTTCGGTCCTGATGAAGATTTGGATGAAATCGAAGAGAGCCTGTCGGGTCTGAAAATAGAGAAGAATGACTTGACGAGTGTATGAACTGAACATGTTGAATATGTCGGAACTATTTTTCCTCATGTTCTGACGTGTATTTTATGTTTACCAGGCTCCTCATATACCTGCTCCCATCAAAGAAAAGGAGAAATCTTGGGCTCAAATGGTTGACATCAACGCTCCATTCACTGAGTTCAATGAGCTAGTTCCAGAGCTGGTATTGCAGGTATGCGCCTTATTCTTTTGCATTTGACGTGTCACTTGCATCCAGTCCTTTGTCTGACCACGTAATCCTAGTTCCCGTTTGAACTGGATGACTTTCAAAAGCATGCTGTTTACCATCTGGAGAGAGGAGAATCCGTGCTAGTAGCAGCTCACACATCTGCTGGAAAGACTGTTGTTGCTGAATATGCTATTGCTTTGGCAAAGAAGCATCATACGAGGTGTGATGTTCGAAAAGCTACGCATGCCGCTATTGAGTGAATCCCAACCTACAATTTTTGACGCAGGACACTCTACACATCTCCCATCAAAGCTCTTTCGAATCAAAAGTTTCGTGATTTCCGTACAAAGTTTGAAGATGTCGGTATATTAACAGGTGATGTTCAAATCAACGCGGAAGCAAAATGTCTGGTCATGACTACTGAAATTCTGAGAAGTATGCTGTACCGTGGAGCGGATCTGATACGGGATGTGGAGTTTGTTGTGTTTGATGAAGTTCATTATATCAATGATATTGAGGTAACTCGGAAAATGAATCTGTGGTTGAACCTGACGTGACGCTTTGGACCAATTAGCGTGGCGTTGTTTGGGAAGAAGTCATCATAATGCTACCTCCAACCGTCACGATGATATTGCTCTCAGCTACAGTCCCAAATACACGAGAGTTTGCTGAATGGCTAGGGTATGTCATGCTATTCGTGACGTGTTCTTTTGTTGTCGTTGTTGCTGACTTGATATTTTAGACGCACGAAACAAAAGAATGTATTCGTCATATCAACTCCCAAACGACCAGTACCGTTAGAACACTTCTTGTATGTCAAGAAGGAAACTTACAAGATTGTTGGTCCTGATAAGAAATTCATCAATGCTGGGTATGAGAAGGAAGGAGTCAATGCGGTACCGTTTATCAATTGATCATACTTTTCATGTCTTTCCACAGATGGAAGGCGGCAAATGATATCATCAACCCTCCACCACCACCTAAAAAGCCCGAAGTTCCTACTGGTCGTGGAGACGGTGGTAGAGGAGGTCAACAACAGCGTGGTGGACGAGGGGGTGCAAGAGGAGGCCAACAGCAGCAGCAAGGTCGTGGTGGTGCCGCTCAAGTTCGAGGTCGAGGTGGCTATAGTGCTGGAAGTGGTGCCATGTCATCGCGTGGTCCTACTCCAACTTCAGTGAGTCTTCACTAGGTATTTTAAAAGCTTTTGTTAAATGTATTCTTTTGCTCGTAGGATCGTCAATTGTATACACATCTGATTGGTGGACTATTGAAAAAGAAGGAATTGCTACCAGCCATAGTCTTTGTCTTTTCTCGAAAGAAGGTTGAAGAGTTTGCTGAAATGTTGAGTAATATAGATTTGACTTCAGGGTCAGCTGAGAAGAGTGAGATTCATGTGTTTATTGAACGGTGCCTGGAAAACCTGAAAGGTATCACGACCATACTTGGGTATTCACGTCATCCTTGAGTATTTATCATTTGTTTATAGGAACCGACAAGGAGCTTCCTCAAGTTCTGAGAACACGTGAATTGCTGTCCCGCGGAATAGCAGTGCATCATTCGGGGTTGCTTCCAATCATCAAGGAGGTAAAGGAAATTCTGGCTACTTGTTACTATGAATATCAACTTGATATTGAAGCTATCAGCAATCTCTGCTACTAACTTAGATGGTCGAAATTCTATTCACCAGAGGTCTCGTCAAGGTTCTGTTTGCTACCGAGACGTTTGCTATGGGTGTGAATGCACCAGCTAGGTGTGTTGTCTTTTCATCAACACGAAAACATGATGGTCGTGAATTTAGAAACCTCATGCCTGGAGAGTATACTCAAATGTCTGGTCGCGCTGGTCGTCGAGGCCTCGATGAGACTGGCGTTGTGCTGATTGTGGTGAATGATGAGATGCCCAGTGTAAGCTGCAGACAGAACGACGCAAAATTGGTGGAATCATCAATGTTAACACATATAGACATACATCTGTTAGGAACTCTCACTAAAACAAATGATACTTGGAACACCAACAAAACTCGAATCCCAATTCCGCCTAACATACAACATGATTCTCAATCTCTTGAGAGTACAGGTGCTACGAGTTGAAGATATGATTCGAAGCTCCTTTTCCGAAAATGCTGGTCAACAACAATTACCACAACGACAACGAGATTTTGAGGAAGCTCAAAAGATCTTGGCTGGTATACCTACTCTTCCATGTCCCATATGCTCGAGAGATTTGAGCAAGTATTATGATCATTCTTCACGGATTATGAGAATCAATGAAGAAGTGAGAGAGCGAGTTATGAAGAGTCCTATGGGTGCTAAAGTGCTTATTCCTGGACGTGTTGTTGTGCTCAACAATCCAGTGAGTTATTCATTCAGGGCGGATCGGTCGTATTGGTACAAAGAATCTTACGTTTTCTAACATCCCTTTTTTACTTAGTTCCATCGCCATGAACTTGGTGTCATCCTGATGAATGCTCCATCAACCAATGATCCTCGATTCAAGTCTATGGTGACCGGATCTTCTGAAGTCAAGAATTACTTTGTGTTGGTGTTGACCGAAGATTCTGGTGATGAAGAAGGAGTGAAAAAGACTAAAGGTGTGATTGTTGGAGAAGGAAAGGATTGATGATATCAAGTCATATGTCAGCAACTCACACTCTCTTCGCGAGTAGGTACAGGACCATTACCAGCAGCCCGATTGAGAATACCAGAAGGAGATAAAGTATCATATGAGAAAATGATTATTACTCATGCTGATATCAGTTTTATGACAAAGAGTCTCATCAAGGTACAGTCCTATCCAGTTTCTAGGAACTCTTGTTTTTTCACACTCATAGACGCCTGTTGTGGTATATTTAGGATATTGATGTAGACTTGATTGTCAAGAAGAATGATGATGAGGAAATGGAACGTACAGCGTTCAAATTGTATGAAGAAGCTCAGAAATATAAATTGGCAGGTAATCGGATTAACAGGGCTCTGTCCGTTTGTCATACAGTAGGTACGCCTGTCAGCTTTTTTAACGTTGTTTTTATTTTTGAAACTCTGCAGGGGAGGCTACTGAGTATGACTGGTCGAAGTACAAGGACTTGGATTTCCAAGAACTCTTGTCTGAAAAGTATGATCTATGGAAGCAGTTGCCACTGTTTGAGTGTAATGAATGTGCTGATATGGATGCCCATGTAAGATCGCATATTTGAAATGCATCACTTGATTTTTTGTTCTGTGGTTTTGTTGTTCGTCAAAAGCACTATTGAGTCTCGCAAACAAGAGCACTAATTCTGTCTTTTTCAACATAGTATGGCATAATTCACGAAGAAAAGGAGCTACAATACAAGATTGCTGAACTGGCATACAAGATATCTGATCAGAATCTAGCGATGCTGCCAGAATATCATCAACGAGTGGATGTGCTCAAGGCACTCAACTATGTTGATGAACACGGAGTTGTTCAACTCAAGGGTCGTGTTGCATGTGAAGTATGCTAGACGCCTCTCACATTCTTGGTTCTGTGCTCCAATTTACTTGGTCTCGTTGTTGTTTTTTTCTTGGTAGATCAACACAGCCAATGAATTGATTCTGACCGAGCTGATATTGGACAATGCATTTGCAGATTTCGAGCCTGCAGAGACCGTTGCATTGTTATCTGCACTGGTTTTCCAAGAGAAGAGTGATTTCCAACCAAAGTTGAATGATAGACTTCATGAGGTATTGTCATAGAACAGCGTCATTTTTTGGTGTTGACCAACTTTTTTTTTTCAAAATCCAACATCAGGGAGTAGAACGAATTCTAGATGTTGCATACAAGATGTATGATGTTCAACGAGAATTCAAGGTCGAGGGACAAGATCCAGAAAAATTGCAATTTGGACTAGTCCAAGTTGTTTATGAATGGGCTAAAGGAACACCCTTCAAGGACATTACAGAGTTGACTGATGTTCTGGAGGGATCAATTGTGCGCAATATTGTGAGGTTGGATGAAACTTGTCGTGAGGTGCGCGGTGCCGCAAAGTTGATAGGTGATGTTGCACTGCATACGAAGATGGACGCGGCTAGTGAGATGATTAAGCGTGACATTGTCTTCAGCCCTTCATTGTATTTCTAGATGGAACATTAGCTTAAGTTATACAATTAGAACTATAGAAAATGAAAATGGAATTACAAATGCTAATCAAAAGAAGATGTTGTTATGTTTGCGGCTCAACGGGCGCGTTTTCTGGCGAAGAAGCGTCTGCCAGACTCAAAACCTCAAAACATCGACAAGATGTCAGGAAGAGACCGAGATAGATATGACGATGACCGTCGAAGCCGATATAGTAGTAGTCGTATGGATGCATATGATGAGCGTGGCGACCGTAATAACTCTTCTTCAGACAAGAGGAAGCGTGAACGAGATGTGAGCCCAACTTCTGACAAGGAAGAAGATCGTGGAAGAAGTCATAAAGACAGGTAATGCAGAACAGTTGTATATGTTGGATCTAGACTCGGATGCCGGTTTCTTCTTGTTTCTCTTTGCTACGTGCACCAACATCACAAAATCAAGTACTCTACGAACACAAGCACACACATATATTAACCCAATCCTCACTATAGCTCATCATCCAAGAAGAGCAAGAAGAAACGTAATAGATCCACATCAGAAGAACATCGACTAAAGAAGGAAGAACGTAAAAAGCTAAAGGAAGAATACCAGCTCCAAAAAGAATCCCAATTCGCTGAACAAATGGGTGTCAATCTAGGATACGACAACAAAGATAATCCATTCGGCGACTCGAATCTCGGCTCCAAATTCGTTTGGTTTAAGAAACGAGAAAAGGAAGCCAAACAAGGAATGACTAGTGATGAGCGATCTCGTCGTGATGTCGACAAGACGAGAGAAAAGCAGACTGAGCTAGAGAGATTAACAAAGAGAAGAGCTGAACGGGAGATTGAAATGCAGCTACGAGAACAAGAGCAGACTAGGATGGCGAGAGATGCTGAACGTGCTCAACTGGGTGATTGGGAGGAGAGAGAAAAGGACTTTCACTTATCACAGGCTAAAACTCGGGCACAGATACGCATCAAGGAGGGTAGAGCTAAACCTATTGATGTGCTCGCCATGAATATATCACTAGCCTCTGATTCAGAGATTGCGGAAGAGTTTGATGCGTTGGGTCTTGAACCTGATGCTGATGAACCATACAAGATATTTGATAATCTGAATAAAAAGGAAGTAGAGGACTTGCATACCGACATTCAACTATACCTAGAGCTGGAAAAGAACGCAGAGAATCAAGCATTTTGGCAAGCCATGATGGTTATATGTGATGACGAATTGTCGAAAGCTAGAGGCACTACTCGACAGACCATTGATAAAAACGTAGAGGCTGAAATCAATAATATGCTATCCAACAAGACGCCTACTCAGCTGTCTGCCTTGCAACGACAAGTAGAAGATACGCTTGCTAAAGGTGGTACCATCGAAGTCGAGTATTGGGAGGCTGTATTGAAGGCTATAATAGTAAATCGTAGTAAAACCAAGCTGTCTGACATTCATTATGCCATGTTGCTAAAGAGACGAGAACAGCTTCGAAAGAGACAGTTGGAACAAGCTGAAGAAGTACGAGCCGAATTAGCAAAGAATCGTCGTACATTCCGAGAATCTCTGGTTAGTAGTGGGTTGAATAACAGTAATAACGATGACAAGGAAGGTGATGATGATGAAGAGCAAACCGTAGCTGCAGCTTCATCATCTTCCAATGTACGAATACAGCAAGCCATAGAAGACGAAGAAGATGACGCCAACCTAAATGAAGAATATAATCCACGAATGTCACCACCACCACACGAACTATCTCGTGATGATCGACAATTACCTGTATATACACCCGAGCAAGATGCTCAAGAGCTGCATGAAGCTCGACAACGAGTATTGAATAATCATAAACAGGTTATACCGTTGTCGTCTGTACTCAAGATGGCTAAGCCTGTCGAGAGACCGAATATGAGTGCTGAGGAGCTGTTTGTTGCCAAGGCTTCTGAGGCTATGGAGTCTGATGAGGTTGCGTTTGGGACGAGTGACGAGGTGGATCTCTCTACTCAGGTAAATTTGGGGGTAACTTGTATTCTATGTCGTGGCGGTGTGTTGCACTGTGCTTGTTGAGCAATCGATATCACGGAGGAGCTGTTTTTGCTCCATAATTGTTTCACTGCTCAACAAATTTTCATCCCTTTAGGCGTATACATGGCAAGACAAATACCGACCACGTAAACCACGATACTTTAATCGTGTGCAAGCAGGCTTTGAATGGAACAAGTACAATCAAACGCATTATGACCCAGACAATCCACCACCCAAAGTCGTTCAAGGATATAAATTCAACATATTTTATCCCGACCTTATTGATCGTGGTAAAGCACCCACATACAAGATTGAACGAGATGCAGGATGGCCTGATACAGCACTCATACGATTCATTGCTGGACCACCATATGAGGATATTGCATTCCGAATAGTCAATCGAGAATGGGAGCATTCTCATAAGAAGGGATTCAAGTCCTCTTTTGATCGTGGTGTGTTACAGTTACATTTCAACTTTAAGGTATGCATCGAATGATATAACTGTTTCTCAAGAGTTTGCTGACGTGTCGTTTTTCCTTCGTAGCGTGCCTACTACCGCCGTTGAAAAGGGGTCATGTTATAAGCTATAATTGCATGACAAATATTCAAATACAAACACTTGTAGTCATACAAAATATGTTAAGGCGTTTGTTCTCTTCGCTATTTTCTGGTACTTCGGTGAAGAATTGTAATTGCTGCAAGGGCGATGGAGGAAGCCAGGCAAGAGCAGTACACAGCCGATGAGGGCCTTACACTGTCAATCCCACATACCACTGATCTGGATTCCAATTTGGACAATGCATCCGCACGAAGCAAACTAAGTTTCGAAGGTGAAAAATATGGATTACATGCTACAATGACTCCAGTTCCAGGGACTCAGGGAAGAGTAATTATGTGGGACGCACCAGGTTCTGCCTCGGAATATGTTACTCCGGTATGCGTTGAATCACATTGGTCGACATTTCAGTTCGGGTGATCATAACACGCTGTTGGTTGTGTTTTACAGAGTCTTCAATTTGGGAGGCTGGACGTTCATCCTGCCTTCTTTGATGCGCTCTATGAGGCTAAGAGGGTATGTATTGCTATCTGTTCCTGGTGTGTGTGGTTGAAGCAGCAGGTTTTTGTGGAGGTTTACGATACAAAAGCTTGTGCTTCCTGTGGGTGGACTGCTAATTGTGTTGTTTATATCCATTCTGCCGATACGTATCAACCGATCTTCACTTCATTTTGAACACCTTAATGTCCTTTCGCTGATTTTTTAACAAGTACTTCAACGTTATGTCGACTAACACATGCTTCTTTTAGCCACATCCACTCCTAGCTCTACCAATCGCGCGCCAATTCTTCATCCAAGAACGCCTGTACCGCCCACGCAAAGAACGAGAGGTGGCATGGTCGGAACTATTCATAGATCTCTTCTTTTCTGCTGTCATTACACGAGTCGACGACCTGCTCAAGATCGGGGATGTGGCACTGTCTGCAAACAGGATACATGAATTCGTGCTTACGTTTTGGATTGTGTGGCTTGCGTGGATACTTATTCAGGATACGCTGAATCGGCTGACTGCACCAGGGTTGACGACGAGGATTTATATCTTTGTGTCGATGATACTTGTGTCTGGGATGGGTATTAATGCTGCGAATGTGTGGAATGAGAATGTGGCGGAGAATACGGCGAATGTGTTTGTTGTTACGTTCTTGATTATTCGTGGACTCCGTAAGTTGTTGTACTGGGTTGAAACACATGCTTTGAAAGAGAATGTAACGGTTTTTTGTCATACATAGACTCCTTAGCATTCTCATCAACAGCGTTAACGATGCCCGGATATGCTGGCTTCCTACATTCCAAAAGTCTTGGAGTCATTCTGGCATCTATCCCAATAACCGTCTCGATATTTATGGATCCGTCGTATCGAAAGTTCTTGTTTTGGGTAACGCTGATACTGGATTTCTTGGCGTTTAATATGGTTGTACTTTTGCTTCGATTGTTTGAGAATCTCAGAACGTGTAAGTGTTTTAGTTGTGTTTCAAATATTGAATCGAACAGCACCTACAAGTTTTCTTTCCCACTAGATCGGCTGGCGGTTGATATTGGGTACGAGAAGCTGGTCCATCTGTTGTTGAATTTACGGTGCGAAATTAGTGAATGATACACCATTTTGACGTTTTTTTACTCGTGTTAGACATCAGACTGAACGAACATCAGGTTTCACACTAATTGTGTGTGGTGAACTCGTGGTATCAATGCTTTGGTCTTCTACGTCGCCGTCCTTTTCGATTGGTATGTTTACCTCGGTTAAATCTCAGTGTTTACATGCTCACTTTGTACATGCTACAGGATACCTGTCCACGATTTTGGGAGTGCTGATACCAATTGGTATGTGGTCCCAGCGATTTTGCTCGTTTTTGTTGATTTCAACTGCTCCAACGCTTCCAACACCAAACATAGTGTTTACTTGGTTCCTGTTTGACATGGACACGTGGAACCTGAAACGACATGCGTTACGGTCGAGTGGGATAAGAGGATTAACGTGGTATAATGCACATTTGTTTCTGCATATGGCGCTAGTTGCAAGGTAAAGCTTTCATAATTGACGGGAAAAATGCAGTTGTATTGGACTCATACTGACAAAGTTTATCCACATCACTAGTGGTGGTAGTATTTCAGATCTCATTCAACTAACCCAAGATGCACCAAGCTCTGGTGTTGAATCTAATTTACGGTGGCTCTTTGTTTTGGCAGTTGCTTTTACGCTGTTCTTGTCGACTGTTTTGGCTATGACGTGAGTACCAAAAAACCCCCAAGAAACAAAAGAGACATTTATGTCCAATTATTCTATTCTGCATGGCTCACAGCTTGCATTTCACTCACTAGGCATGAAGTGAAACCAAACGAACGAGGACTATCACGATACATGCGATTGGGGATTCGACTTTTAGGATGTCTAGCTATCTTCTTTACTGGGTTTGGAAGTGAGGTCCCTCCTGTTGGGTTGATTGGAATTGTTGCTGCGATATTGGTTGTGATTGCTTCCATTGAATTGTAAGATGTTGTCACGTTGTTTGGTTTGTTAGACATGCGTTGTGCTCATCACTCTTTTTGTCTCCTGTTTCAAGGGATACTCGATATCGAGTTGACAGAGATGAGAAAATCCGGGAATGAAAATCGTGATATCGTTCAATGATCTCATATTAATTTTGTACATTAACACCATTTCTAAATTTTTGCTACATTAAATTTTTGGTATCATATTAGACAATCAAAAAGAACATTCGTGAAAGAATTCCTCATGAGATTCCTACTCTATTGTTGTCTCTAAAGTTTCGTCGATTTGACCTCGACTGGAGAATGAACCCACTCCAGCATTTGATAGGAAGAAGCCAGCAAATTCCCCTCATAATCATATAGCAGCACAGAGACATTGCTCTTCCCCATCGACAAGAATGCTTGGTCTAGCATACGGGCAACATGTGGTTTGGATGATGAAGGGTTTGGGCGTTGGAAGAAGTGTATGACCTACAGTAAAGGGTGAGTTGGTGTCGAATGCAAACAAAACACCAATGCGAAAGCATTCAGGAACGTGCAACGCGTACCATTCCAATAGTTCCTGTTTGTCGTAACGTTGATTCTTGAGTTTTTGCATAGACACGAGCACTATATGCAGAAAAAATCAAGGTAAGAATCGTCATGTCGACCAGCAAGTTTCTAAAGTGGGATAGTACCCTAATGTGACTTCCAGATCTCTAAAGACATCTATTGCATAGCGTCAGCTTTCTAGACGTTTGAAACCCAAGGGTTTCAAGATCTCACCAGCGAACAAAACCACAGCCGCAGCATCCAGTGGTCTCTCATCAGCTATTTCTAGTGATTGAAAAGTTCAAGGGCATCCTCCGCATTTTATGCATCGTAACTCGTCCTCTCACCTATATAGCAAGGCAAATCTACACCATTCCGCAACGACACAACTCCATCCTCATACCCATCTTTAGCCGCTTTTGTCCACCTCTCAACATCTCCCTGTGAACACTTTAACTTTGTGTATTTACCTACAGGATGCCGGCTCTTTCTATGAGGCCACACCAACAATTCAACAACACCATAATCAACTGCGTCATCATACGCCACCATACTCATAACATTAGGTACATCCATCGTTAAATTCGACGTATTATTTTCAAAATTCCCGAACGTAGCCTGCATTGTTGCGATTGGTTTGAGTGTAATGGGTTCATACATTTTGGAAAAGACGTGGACAAAGAGACCACCAGTTTTGATTATGTCGATTGTGACGTGGAGGGTGTGTTTTGCTGGAGAGAGGAAGTTTATGTGTGCAGTGTATGGGTCACGGTATTGGAGGCCGTATGAGGTCAGAACGTGAGTGTGTGTTGCGTGGAAGATTAATGCAGCAGCGTATCCTAAGTTGCAAAAGATTCTGTATCAGACATCAAATAACTGATAACGGTGTTATCAATTAGTGATGTACCTCCTAGCGCAGCTCCAAGTGCTCTACATACAGTGTGAAATCAGAATTCTTGACCTAAATGTTTGATGCCAATTGTGTCGAGACTTACCCATACCATTCAGGAAGCACCGTGATCTCGTACACATTTGAGCTTATACGTTTGCATGCAATGGCTTCATCGAAGGCATACTTTCCTGGGTTGGCCATCTCGTCTGTTGCTATAGCAGATTTGCGATTTCTCGTGGGTTTGCACTAGTGTGTTGCTTAAGATAATTGGCATTGAGCAGATCCGGTATTTGCAGCATGAGGTTACGTTGTTGATGCGTCGCAACATACCTGAGCTTATCGCGCCTGCAATTACGACGTGGTTTATGTGAATTGTGAAGTTCACAATTTCAGGTAAGCTCACGTTTTCGACGCTATCTCATCGAATATGAGGAGAACTATCCCTGCTCTCATATGAAGTACATGCCGTGAGAGCCTCAATCGCGTCAAATATCTGAAACACGCTCGCCATTTTTTGTCTGCGTCATCTCAACTTGCTTCGTTTTCGTTGCGCCAACAAAATCTGACAAATCGGAAGGAACTACTACCGTAATTTAGGATATGGCTCCATGGCACCATAATTAACTGGGAAACTCATAGACATCAAATGCCAATTGACTGAATATTCTATTTGGTTTTCACAACTTTCCAAGATTAATCTTCAATCTCCCATCCATTATTTCCAATGCTACATCTCCATACTGTAAGAAATCTTGGACACGTCCATCTGCATTATTGTTCTGACCTTTCAATACCCGTGCAGCAATTCCCTGTACTTGAATGCCTGCACGATATAAGGTGAATGCTATGCAAAAATCAAGTCCCTTTATCGGATATGGTCGTTTGGCAGCTGCACAATATCTTCTTATTAGTGCTTCTGGTTCGGGGATTGAGAGTGGTCTTGGAAGATTACGGTATCCGTCTAATGTGGAATCGTGATCAGTGAATCAATGCTTTCTGAAAATATGCAACATGGTCGTTACTTGGAAGATAAAACGACATTAATATGGTAGCCAAATCGTTAAGAGGATGGCCGACGGTCGACTATCAAAGAATGTCAAAATTAGCTGAGCCATACATCACACAACAAACGCCCCTTTTAAAAGACTCACAGTCTCCCAATCAAGAATAGCAACAATCTTTGGCTGTGTTGGATGAAACATTATATTTCCGGCCTTGTAATCACCATGAACCAGCGTAGACTCATCAGCTAGCGCTTTAGCTTGCTTGCGAAGCCAAGCCTCAAGTTCAGCCTGTCTGTTCAATTCTCCAAGACGGGTTCCATCTGGTTTCAGTAATGGTGCTTGCGATGCGCCCATCTCAGAATAGACCTTTACTTGACGTTCAAAGTAGTTGCTAACGCGCCCGTGACTAAAATTGGCCTAAATCAAAGTTAAGGAAACGTTTGTAAAGAGTAGCAGTATTTGTAGATCTTTTACCAGTCCAACAGCCTTGTAATTCACACTATGGAAGGCAGCCAGCACATCAATGAGCTCATACCAATATGCATGTCTGTCTTGATCAGGAACATCTGGAAACAATCCGTTTTCTATAACGCGACCCTCTACGAACTCCATCACATAAAAGGCAGATCCAATAATCGAAGGGTCTTCACACATATAGTATGGTTTTGGGATTGGGAGTGTCGATCCTTGTTTTAGAGCCGACATGATTTCGAATTCTCGTTCAATCTGATGAGCTCTTGGTACGAGCTTGCCTGGTGGTTTCTACATTGATAGACTTCAGTTTGAGAATGGAATTTGCTCATGGTTTATGGATCTACAGATTTGTTATGTACCTTTCTTAAAACATATTTGACTCCCCTGCAAATGTGATGGTAAAGCGTCAGTACACAATTGAGTTACTAGCAGAAGATATTGCGTCTTACCTGGAATCCTCCAACATGTAAGTTGGGTTAGACTGGCCAGTTTTAAATTGTTTTAGCGTTAACGGCGGCTGGAATCCAGGGATTTTTAGGGCCAAGTGAGCTCCTAACGCTTCCGGGTCATCGACCTTGAGAAGAGACGTCTTAGACGGTGCTGCAGCCATGGTTTTCTAATCGGTTTATGGGTTGCCGTGGTCGTTTGCGTACTTCAAAGTTAGGTGTCACAAAACAGCTTGATTTCGGAATTGCAGTTTTGTTGGCTGTAGAACTTTGACGTCGCATTCAAGCCGCGTGGGCTCACGCGCGATCTGGACATGCCCATCGCAACTCCCTTACATACTATGTTGACGGTGCAATATGCCATTGCAATATATTTTCGTATTTTCTATTTTATTTTCGTGGGAACGACCATTAGTATTATGAGATTGCTTATTAAAAGTCGTTTATATCATTTGGCAATAGTAGTTTATAAATCGACGACGCAGGTTCAGTCAGATGCTCGCATGCCGAGCATTGATCCTGATTTGCATTGCAGTGCACATCTGAGCCACTAGTTATCGTCCTGCCACAGTAGAATTTATAGAGATTATGGGATTTTGTGGCATAACCAGCTTCATTGACTAGAAATCCAGGAGGCAATCGTCGACGTTGTAAGTCCGTGTCCATACAGTCCAAACAGTTTAAACCAGTAGTTGGGCCACAAAATCCATCATGGTTCCGAAGCAGTAGACTACCTCTGCAGTAGTATTTGCCAGTGGAACCTAGCTTGCGTGTACGTTGCGGCAGTCCTACTCCAAATCGACCCCTTGACACAACAACAGCTGTTGGGTCGAAGTCGTCAGGGCCGATATTTGATGGTGGCAGTCCTGCTAAAAGTCGGAGCCCGTCAATCAGTTTAGCAGGTGGTGCTGATGCCATTTCGTCCTTGTGAGCAGAGACTGTGTGCTCGAGAAGCTCCTTTGCCACATGCTTTGAAATACAGACAGGGCAGCTAATTACACGCAAAGCACAGTTGTTTTCATGATTTTTCCCTGTAGATTTGATATCACAGTAGTTGCATGCAAGTGGTATGGATCCAATGATTCGTTAAATTTGTGAGATTGCTCTGATACCTATTTATCGCTTTTTATGTTGAATCAATCCTAATAACCAGTTCACGAATAGACAAGTCAAAGCAGGTTTACGTTACGGGGGATTTTCGACAAGTTGGGCACTTGTTCAATGGTTTGATACAACCAATACAATAGATCTTCCCACTTTCTTGGGCGTCATCAGCAACACAGAGACATATTGTACACTGAGTAAAGTCCTTTAACTGTGTACCGGGAAAGTCGGCGTCACCAGCTGTTGGAGCACCAGGACGATGGTGTCGTAGTAGGAGCAGGTTCGCCAAACAGAGAAGACATCTTGTTGATTTTGCAAAAGAGGCAAATCTAAAAGACCGTTTAAAATTGCATCAAGATACATGGCGCTTTCTATCTACTTTTGACTTGCAATGCGTACGTGAATGATGGTTTAGGCCCAAGAGTCACACTCTGAGTTTTAGACAGATTCAGATATCGCAGTTTTACACGATGTTAGAGCTACAGAGGTAGAAGTAGTAAGTAAATCACAACGTGCATCAAAGAAAGAGAAAGCAAAGCGATACAGTTCAGCAACGCACCTGGCAGTAGTTGGGAAGATGATTGCAAAGGCGTGCGGAAACACCAAGCAAGATGTTGGCGTGAACTGAGGCTGACGTTATAAAAGTGATTTAACAGCTCGACTTCACGTAAATCTAACTATGAACGAGCTCCAGATGGTCTCCTTCGCCACTCTGTTTACTGTGCGCGTATTGTTACCAGTTCAAAACCGTAGATTGTAGCAATGGCCCATTTTGGAGAATCCGACATATCGCTTATAGGAATCCATGCAAATGCACAATCTGAAGCAGATCTTCCAGAGGAAATCAACTTCGAGATAGGTCCTGACGATGCAAATAACGATAATCAACAGGAACGGAGGAAATTGTCGATCGAGCTTGCGCAAGAAACTGGGCAAGAACCTACTATTGTGATTTTGGATGGTACCCGCGGTGATGTGGTTCTTTGGACGTTGCCGGAAAGCGCTGAACACCATCATCATCCAGACGTAAACATTTCGTGTTTTGTCTATATCGCAAGAGAGTCACTAACTTCCATCTTCTATAGAAAGAATTTGGAGCTCTGAAAGCTGGCAAACCTTACTTTTACGATGCGATCTATCAGAAGTCACGAGTACGTCGGTGCAAACTGTTATCGCTGTGAAGGTGTTTGGATCTAACACCACGCCAACAGCCAAATCCCATCTTTGCTATGCCAATAGGTACGATACATCTCAATTCATATGTATTTGAGACGCTACTGATCCCCACTCTAGCCCGACAGTTCTTTCTTCATGGAAGGTTATATAGGCCAACTAAAGAATTGGGTGTTTCTTGGAGTGAACTCTGTACGTCTAGAAAACACACTCATGAGCAACCAATTTCACCAATTGCTATCATCAGTTCTAGACTTGTTCTTTGTCGGTGTTATCGGCAAAGCTGACGAAATCCTAAAAGATGGAACATTGGAATCCCCAAAGATCAATGAATTTGCTTTATGCTTTTGGTTCATTTGGCTTGTATGGGTCGCACTGCAGGACACTTCGAATCGTGTCACATTCCCAGGTACAATTTGCCGTTTTTTCTCCTCTTGGCATATCTTAACATCTTGGCAATGTAGGTCTCAGCACTCGCCTGTTCACGTTTTGCAACATGATTCTCGTAGCTGGGCTCGGACTCAATATTGCAAATGTTTGGAATGAAACCCATGAGTCCAACACCGCAAATGTGTTTATCGTTACCTACCTCATTTCAAAGGTCCTGTGTATGTGAACGTTTTAACATCATTTTCTTCAAAAATCGCAAAGAACTTATACCATTTCACTCATTTGTAGATATCGGAGTCAGCTTACTGTTATTGCAGACGATGCCTAAGTGGAGCGGACAAATCCTCACAAGAGCAGTTACAGTTGCTCTGCCAGCGATACCTCTCCTCGTCTCATTGTTTGCCAAAGAGTATCGAATTTTGCTGTACTGGATTTCTATCGGAGCTGAGTTTATAGGGTTTGCTGGCGCTATCTTGGTGATTGGATATGTCTTTCCTGCCGATTGTGAGTTAATATCTTGACTCTCAAACTTGTACACACTATAACTGATCGGTTTCCCTTTCAGATCGTCTTGCATTGGATTTAGCGCATCAGACAGAGAGGTTTGGTGGATTTACTCTGATCGTGTTGGGAGAGATGGTTATAGCTCTTCTGTATAGCAGTTCATCTTCGGTGAGTGGTTCATAGTGCTGATAGTACACCCTTAGCTTACATCTGAACTCTGCGACGACACAGTCCTTCTCGTCAGGCTATGGCGCCGTTATATTGGGATTGTTCATTCCCATGGTCTTCTCCTGGCTATACTTTGATATGGACGGTTGTTGGAGACTGACACGGTATAACGCGTTATGAAAATATCCAAGTTTAGGTTATTAGAAGGTGATTCCCCTCAATTAATTAACTGTTGATAACTATTAGGCATGCTCTGAGGACATCTCCTTGTATGGTTGGACACGATGTTCTCAACAGGTTTATCATGCACAGAGCTAACTGGCGATATCAAATAGTTCGAGGACTGACGTGGTCCAACTCCCACTTCTTTCTGCATGCAGGAATGGTTAGCTCTGGAGGTTCATTATCAGACTTGATTCTGGCATCGAATGCGGACCCAAACGGAGGAGTCGATCCGCTGTTAAGATGGCTGTTTGTTGGGAGCGTAGCATTTACGCTTTGCATGACATGTGTTTTGGCTCTCACGCACGTCGTTTCTACGAACGAGCGGGGCTTGAGTAGAGTTGGTAGGATGTTTATACGACTGATCAGTGCTGGAGGTATATTGGCAGTTGGATCTGGATCGCAGATCACCGCGTTGGGTCTCATAGGAGCTGTATCCAGCATTCTTGTTGTTGTAGCGGGTATAGAACTCTACACACAATGGATAGCGGATCTAGATATTGTGAATCCTAGGACTGCAAAGTCCGCTTAGTTAATCTGGTACATTGTAATTTATTAGAGTATGAAGCTATAGTTTGCGAAGCCCTACGTGTCAAGACGCATGGAACATTGCTTCTATTCTTTTATAACTTATAACAACATTCTGTGTGAAACTGTCCTAAAATTTGGCTTTGTTATGAAACTGGCCAACACTAAATTTGAAACTCAACGTTCGCGACGATGTCATTTGAGATTCTTGTTGGTACGAACGGGGTACCAGGGATCTGTACATTGCTGGGCGGATTCGTGTTATTCTTTGGTATGAAGCTTTTCTTCTCTCTCGCATGTGTCGGTTTCAAGCAATGTCAAAATCCAACCAAATTTCTTCCATGCCAATGTAGGCTTTGTCTCGCTAATCATCAAAGAGTGGCTTTATCTCTCAGAGAGTCTGCTAGCTACTCTTATCGGAGTCCTGTTTGGTACAGTCAATGTCGTCAAGGACCAAGAAACATCAATCGATCAAACATCAATTTTTTGACCAATCTTCAAACACGTAGGTCCCTATGCTATCAACCTCATGGACCTGGGCGCATTGGGCGTCGATGTGTCGAATATCACATTCCAGTTCGCTCAGATCGTTATTGCCATCCAGATCATCAATGCTAGTATAACACTTCCCAAGTACGATGTGTCAAACTTTAAGGGTGTGCTTCTATCTCGGTTTTCTGACGATGTTTATTGGGATTCTAGCTTCTTCTGGAAGACAAATTGGAAGGCATTGTTTATATTGTATGTGCCAGTCATGATCTACATGTGGTTGAGCACTGCATTGCTGGTTTGGCTGATACTTGGACTGGAAGTCGTGAGTTGTGTGAAGGAGGGTTTGAGTTTGAATGTGATGGCTGACAGTTATATTTGACAAGTGGGACTGTATGATTGTGGCTGCGTGTCTCGCTCCTACTGATCCGGTAAATACTCGGAATTTGCTCGTCAGTTTCTGCTCCATCGGTTTGATGCATTGTTCCAACCAGTTCTCTCTTTGGTAGGTATTGGCCAACAGTATAATCAATGGTAAATTTGCAGACATGCATGTTCCTATTGCTATCAGGTGGCTACTGTCTGGTGAAAGGTCAGTATTTTTGCATCCCGTAGCGCCTTTTTTCACCCTGCTTGTCAGGAACTCATCTCGCCCTCATAGTGCTGGTAATGACGGTGCTGGTCTCCCATTTTTTGCTCTCGGAGTTCAATTCCTGCGGCATGGCACGACTTCCGAAGCTCTAAAATATTGGTTTCTACAGACTATATTGTACGAAATTGGGTGTGGTATTGTGCTAGGAGCTGTAATAGGATACACAGCGAACATGCTGCTCAAAATATCGGAAGGAAGAGGGTGGATTGATAAGAGATCTTTTCTGAGCTTTGAAATTGCACTGGCGGTGAGCATTCACCTTGTTGCACAGTTGATTACAGGCTGATCCTTTGGGGTTTTTTAGCTCTTTACTGTTGGATTAGCAACGATTCTAGGTACGCTGCACCATTTCGCAGTGGATTTCCAGAAAATGCTTATTCTTCACGATTCTAGATGTTGCATCATTCCTTGCTGTCTTTGCCACTGGTCTAGTATTCGCTTGGGATGGAAGGTTTACTGAAGAAACTGCCGAAGCTCATGTACAAGAAGTCATTGATTCTCTTGTCAATTTGACCTTCTTTGTGTAAGTATTGTTTGTGACCGTTTTGGAAAAACTAATGCTGGTTTTCTTTTGTGGTTATACTAAGGCTACTGTTTGTGATCAGGTATTATGGATCAATTATACCGTGGACTGAGTTTAACACGGCACTTGTACCTATTGGGAAGCTTGTTGGGTTTTCTATTGCTGTCCTGAGTAAGTTTTGATTACGGCTCAAAAAAAGGATCTGATTTTGAACAGGATGTTTCACTGAAATTCTCACATTGCATCCTTTCTTAGTAATACGAAGAATGCCCATAATCACTGCCCTACACCGATGGTTACCGCCGCTAATGACTATCAAAGAGGTCGGCTTTTATGGATGGTTTGGGCCAATCGGAGTAGGAGCTCTTTGGTAAGTGACGCTTAGATCGTTTATTGCCTTGTTGGTGGAGCTGACCAATAACTGGCACTTGTAGGTACGCTGCACTCTTTCGGAGTGAGTTTCCAGAAAAAGCTTACATCGTCGCCATTGTCGACTTTGTGGTACTTTCCTCCGTTGTTGCTCATGGAATGACCCTACCTCTCTTCCAAATGACTGTAATGACTCTCTCGACGATTTCAGCACGACGAGATATTCGAGCACCATCATGGCCAATGGGAATACCCATAACAACGGATATCATATCCTCACCGATATCACGACCTGACTTGCCCAGAAACCCGGCCGACGAGAAACACCTTGGTGCAAACGGTGATGCACCTTTTATCGTTGGCAGTGCCGATACAGTAAATAATGAATTTGCAAGAGACAGTGCCAGCCCAACTGGGTCTGCGATAATACCTATAGAAGAGGATGATATAGGTGGTGTACCAATGGAGCATTCCAACACACAGCACAGCGTAGCTTTTGGCATACCGCTGACAACCGTGGGACGAACGACTTCGAATGCTTCCGCTACAGGATCTGGTATATTAAAGAACGTGAACTGGATTGGTCCGATAGCGGGTGATGGAGGGGACGAATCGTTGCAAATCAATACTATTATGAATCGCTCATCATACGAGAATGCAATGGATATGCCTCCAGGTGGGTTTGGAATCCCATTATCAAGATTTGATAATACAGGAATGTCTAGCGGCGGGTTTGCCAACTTGTTTGGTCGACGAACTAGAATTACTGGGTTTGGTGGTAGTAGTAGTAACAGTAGTGCTAATTCGGACAGACAGACATCTCCGAGACGGCGTCCAAATCGGCAGTCTGAGGATGATGGTGATGTAGCAGTGGATAGGATTGAAGAAGAACGAGGTTCTTCAGATGAAAATGGGTCGCCGGAACGCCAAGGACGATGGAGTTTGAGGACGTTGAGAAAGTAAAAGAAAAAATATAGATCTACATAGTTCATATATACAACAAGACACTTTTATACCATAAAACATCTTCACATATTCGTGCAAAGTCTAAATATACTTATTCTTTTTCCGAAACTACCGACCAGACCTCTTGCCTACGAAAATGTTTGCAATTCCAACCCATGCAGCACAAATTTCAAGAGGCTTTGGAATCTCGGAGTAGCACCAGCCAAATACCTCAAATTGGAATTAAACGTACGCGAGAAGTCTCCTAAACCCCTCTTCGAAGAGACAAGTAGCTGAAATGGCTGATGAAATGCGTGCTATGTCTGCACGAAGAGATTCTGAAGTCTCTAATGCTCATGCCAAGGCTGAATCCCTGGCAAGTTTGATGTATTCAGAGCTCCTGTTGCAATGAAAGTGGTTGACCGACGTCTTCATGGCATTGACACATTTCCACTCTAGGCCTCTGAGCTGCTTCAAGCTTCTCAAGCTCTCGCAACGAGCAAGATCTCTGAAGAAGGATTGCGGTTCTGCTACGAGAGCAAGTGAGCTTTATTCTATATGAGGTACGCAACAATTCCTACTTTGCATAATATACAGGCTTCGGCAATTTCACAAGTTCGAATGCAATATTTGAATGCTTCAAATCCCTCTTCAAATCCGTCAAATGATGCATATTCTCATCAAGCCAGTCTTGACGCATCTCCAATGTGAATCGATTCAACTCTTTCCTACACTTGTCGACACAGCCCCGACAAAACCTACTGACCTTATCACATAATTCACCTCTTGTTTCATACATTCCAAGTATCTGAATTCGGAGATGTTTCAGATGATGTTGGGTTCCAGCTAGGCCTTCGACCATAACCTCGAATAGCTTGTCGTCAGGGCGGTGGAATTGAATGGCAAGATCATGTATCGATGGTAGTAAAGCCTCCCTAAAGAATTCTCTGCTTGGATCCTGAATCCATCCTAAACTTTCTAGAGGCGGATACTCGGTGCTCCCCAACTCACGAGATGTATATGTTACTCCAAAGGCCAAGTAGACACGTCGTAAAGACGGTATGTACGGAATTATATGATTAAAGAGATGGTCTGCTCTTTCAAGAGGGAAGTTAATTTCCAGAGTCGTCAATGCTGAGAAGGCTGAACTCTTGTTCATCTCCACTAGCTGATCCAAGACAATCGCTCGTAACAAGGTTTTACGACGCTTGGCGATAATCATTGCGTCACCATTACTACCATTTCCAACACCTGTATCGGAATCTGACTCGTTGTCAGATTCCCAATCACTGTCATCGTCCTCCATGTCATCGTCGTTACTAAGCTCATCGTCGTCATTATCGTTGTCTCCTATTGATATGATTCCAGATCCAGAATCACTGTCCCATCCGTCATCGTTCTCTTCGTCAAAATGATATGGTGGCAGTAAGGGGTGGGGTGATAACGAAAACGTTACGGGATGTGCTGGATGTGGCACATCCTCGTCTACCCAGTTCTCATCATTATCGTCGTCGTGGATAGTTGTATCTGGCACTACCGGATTATTATCTACAGGTTGTACGTCTACCATTCGTTTCTCGTTGGTTAAATTACTATGGGCGCTGAATGATACCCTAGTTCCAATTCGAAGTTCTTCAAGTCCCGTCCAAAGCATTCCTAAACCATCAAAGCGAGAAGGATCTATAAACGGCGATTCTCTACTAGACATTATTAAATCCAATTCCAGGGTTTTTACATTCATGACGAATCCTGGTATCGAGACATCATGACGAGCTGGTAGATATTCGTGAAGAGCAAACCATGGGAAGGAAGCCCATCTTCTCACACGGAGAACAGGCGATACATGTGGTGGATTGCGTTCTCGTGCACTGTTGGTAAATGTTATACAAGCTGTCTTGTGTTTTAAAGCATCGGCTTCTCGTTCGAGCGGACCTGTCGTGATGTTGTTGAATACGAAATGGAAGTTTTCTATACGAGTCATTTCTCGGAATTCCCTGGCGATGGCTTCGTATACTGCATTGTACTGTATTGTTTGGCCAATAAACGACGTATGAGCGAAGACCTGCAAGGAAAGATGTGAAGAGTCAAAGACCAATAGACAGTGCCAACAAAACTCAACCTGAGTCAAAAAACATATAAATGTAGAACTGAGAACGTACGTTAATACCAATAGGAGGCAATCTCTTGTCCACGAACGTAAAGTTCTCTTGTACTTCGACCTATTCAGATGCGAGTGTGTAAATTCTGAACTCTCGACTCATGAAGACGAGACATGCCCTTACCTCAAACTTTGACAAGAGGACATCAGGATCTTTTGGCGTCAAATACAGCTCGACTTTAACGTAGAGAGGTTCAGCCTTTACCATTTCCTTGAAAGCCTTACTGATTCGAGGCAGTGTGCCATAAAAGCATGATGGATTCAGGTATCGAGCGATACAAATCCAGAGCTCTGTTGGCAATGAAACCTCGTTTTGAGGCGGTATGGGCTCCATCGAGTTGAAAGAAAATGGCGTTGATTACCGCCTGGAATTGGAAAAATGGGAATCTGTTGAAAATTGACAATTTTAGCAATCAAACGTCCAGATGTTGGTTACAAGGATCGTATAAGAAATGTTCTGAAGCTACATATATGCTTGAAATCAAAGCATTGATGACTTTATAGATTCGAAAAGCCGAGCATCCTCTCTGAGAAATGTCTTTTTTGAAAAACATATGTCACAGTGCGTTTGCGACATTTAGGTACCTTGGAGAGATCTCAAGTATGCATACAGGAGCCTCTTTAGACGATAATCCACGTGAGCAGCTTTGGTTTTATTCTAGTGCTTTATGTCATATTTTCTTGTCGTGAAATTGACAGCAATCGTTGAAAGGAACGGAAGGAAACGACGCTCCCAATAACACGTTCTTGAACAATTGAATCCGTGGTATCAAGTATATGACTTCATAATTTCAATTAGATCTTACCGGGCTTGCCTTTTATTTGCAGAATGCAGTCTCTCGGTGGACATCTTGCGTGACGGTCTTGTTTCTTATTTACAGCTTTCAAGGTTGGCAATGATTCATACAGCTGTGAATCTCACGGAATCAGTGTTTCCTGGATAGATCTATTGTTTGTGTCTGGGATCAACTCTGTGTGAGGTTGTCCAGTCCCAACCCGATGCTTACAACTTGAATTGGGCCCGCTCATAACAAAACAAATTCAAGCTCAAGTGCTTTAATCGGGGTTTTATGCAATGTCTAAATTGTGGTTGAAGTGAAATAAAAAGTCTATGGAAAATTATTACTAGATGTATACTGGCACTATGCTATCTAGTTCCCAGCAGTGGTACCGTTCTGCCAGACTCCGGGGCTAGTCTCGTTGGAGTAGAAGGTAATGTTTTGAGAAACCAAATCAGCCACAGATGGAGCTGGTAGACAACGCAAGACCATATCAGTGAAGAAGACCTTGGTAGCATCAAAAGTGGGGTTGTGCATAACCAACAATCCCAATTCGACCACAAATTCTCCAGCATCAGCAGCAGTCAAAGTGGTGTTTGTACCGTCTGGAACTGGAGCTCGGATGGAGGGAGAACCCAACACTGTGTATTTGGATGGGCTACCACCTGCAGCAGTGGCGTTGGACGCTGAGATGACTGTGAATCTATTATGTGGGATGTGGAATCAGTAAAGAGGCCTTTGTCAAATGGAGTGTTGCAGAATGTTTTGATGATTATACTTACGCGACTTGCATGGTGATGGAGCTGTTTACCAGTTGGCTGTCGTACGTCATGGCGTCCTTTGCAGTAAACAACACTTGAGTAACAGACATGTTGGCACCTAAAGCATTCTTTGATTAGCTCGTTGCAAATTTGAATCAATTGTCAAGATGTAAAACTTACTAGCTTCACTGACACCAGCAGGCAACTGGTAGTCAACAATCATGATACCACGAGCATTATCGTAAGGTGTCAAGTCAATAGGAGTAGTGACATTGATTACCATAAAGTCGGTAGACATGTCTAAAACAACATTGGACAGACAATCAGACATTCACTCAACTTGAGAACAGAAATAGTGTTCCAAGCACTCACCAGTATCATTACGAGGGAAGAAGCCTGCATCCGCTAGAGAAATATTGATTGGTGGGGCTTCACAATAAGGTATCACATATGGGTGTGCATTGTCTGTGCCCAACAGTGCATATTGTTCTTGAATGGCTGCAGTGACATTGGTCGTCGTTTGAGCTGCAGCAAGACCAGCGAAGACGGTGAGGCCAACTGCAAGTAAAATGTTGGTTCTGGTGTGCATCATCATATGTAGTGTGTTTCAGATTCGTTGGATAAGAGTCGAGTATTATGGATTCCAAGTAGATATCTAAAAGGCTCATCGATTCTAAGCTTTCAGTTATGTATACTAAGAAAATGAGAAGACAGGCGACTGTACAAGAAAACGACAAGTTGTGGAGCTGAGAAAGAATGTGTGCCAGATAGTTGTTTGGTCTTTATCAAATCTGTCTAAGAACAGCTAGTTCCCATACTTGATCAATACTTGCCATCACTGTGTACTCACCTTCAACTATTAGGTTCTAATACTACTTCCAATTGGTTGGTTGGTTCTTGTGAAGGAAAGTGAAGGTAGGTGAAATCAAACCAACGCCTACAAAACTTAGGTGTATGCACACCGTCTTGGTGTTTGCACACCGTGATCCTGCACACCGTAAAACGAGGGATAATGCGGGTAAACGCTTGAAAATGGTTTAGGCATCTGTCATGGTCCTTGCTGTAGATTTGCGGATTTTGTGAGGGTTTTGAAAATGTGGCTTTTTGTTGAGAATATGATTGAAGAGCCTCCAGCATACAAGGCGAATGCGATTGCACTTTCATGCCAGAAAAATCAATTCTACAAGGCAATGCGTCCTCAATGACGTAATTTCCATTTCAATCCTCTGATGCAAACTCAGCAGGTGAGAATGTTTTGCAAATGCTCATTCCGGATCGTAGGTTGAGGGGTTTACATCGATCTCGAACAGATATAAACCTCCTTCATGTGCATGTTGGAATGCATCCAACACTGTATGGTACTCTCGTTTCCGTGCTTGATTGAAATGCGTCCAAATTTACATCAGATTCAGAAACTAAAGGAAACACAGTCACGGAGGCATTGAGGTAAATAGAAGAATCATTATCATGAATTGTAACCCAAAATTAGAGCAATGGGTCCCATAACATTCTACTCACCGTCAACGTCTTGTTTTCTTGCATCATCAAGTTACCGGATTTTATTGGACGTAAAGCATCTCTCATCGTTTCAACAACCTTGAAAACTCATATTGAAAAGGAGAATTTTGGTATAGTGTTACGGTCTGGGACCACGTGCTAGTGTGCTAGTGTCCTAAGCAACGACCATTAGCCAGACACCAACACTGTATCGCACAACACGACACACCTACTTTCCGCAACTTCTCAACCTCCAGCGGAAAGACATTATTGAACCGAAAATGAGGTTAACGCTTGTCTGTGTGGTAGCACTGCTCGTTATGGCGTCCGGAGCTAGTCGTAAGTGAACTCCATGAATTGCGCTCTGGACACACACTAACGGTATACACAACAAACTAGCTCTTGCAACAAGAATGGAAAACAACGATCTTGCTATAGTGGCTCTTGATAGGCGAGCCGGACCTATTCAACCTGTTGGCCACCTTCCTGCTGGTGCTGGGGTACGTTATTGAACTCACTACAAGGTTTGAATCTTACTGACATCACATTTCATCACAGGGTATTACAAATCCTTTCTCCAAAGCTTTGGTCTATGTGGTTGCGCTAATGGCTGGTGGTGGAACGATTGCAATGGGCGTTTACTTGCTTGGATTTGCTTCTATGGGATTGATTGGTGCTGCATTTCCACCTGCCATTATTGCAATTGGAGCCGTGTTTACACTCGCAGTCATGATCAAACTTTTTCTGAACTGGAGGTATTTTTGCTTGTCTTTAGTCGTCTCGCATAATGTCATTTGTCACTTATACGGTAGTAACCGTTATTAACCATACCTTTCTGCAACCTATAGAGCCAAGAATGCCGCTGGTCCTCAAGGAGAACTCCGTAGACCGAAAATGGCATCCGAAACTCTAGGAAAGAATTCTGTTATGAGCAGGTTAAAGGGCTTTGCTGCTAAATCAGTCAAAATTCAGGGTGATGGCACTCAACAAACTCCAGAAGACGTAGAAAACTTGGCATATGAGCAATTGACAAGGTCTGGTGGCACGAAAATCAAAAAGCCTACTCCAACACCAATGGAGAGGCTATCTGCCTTTTCCAATAAGTTGTTTAAAGGGCAATATGAAGGTCTAGTTACCAAGATCCCAAACATGTATCATTGGGTAAAAGAGCGAGCGCCAAAGGCTGGTTGGAGGTCTGGTGTTGGTAGTGCCGCTAACAGGCGAGAGCTAACGCCAATCTTCCGCGTTGGCCATGACTACATTGTAAGCATATCTTCGTTTTCGATGTTCTTGAGTTCAACGACTGACTCTTTTATGTCATTTCATGTTTATAGGACCTCATGCCAGATCCTGCGGCAGAAGATCCACGTAGTGTCAAAGTTAAACCACCAAAGGCAAGTTCTAAACCTTCACGCATTCGTTTCAATACTTTTACTGTTCGGCTAACATTTCATCTGGAAGCAGCCTGTTTCTCAACCAAAAACCCCAAAGATACCAGTCAGAGATCCTCATGTACCGAAGCTATGAGAGAGTTTGGATCTGTGTGGTTGTTTCTTTGCAGTAAAATTTTAACATCGCATTGCTTACCAAGATTAGATCAAAACACTTTTCATAAGATCTTACTTTCCAAGAATATACCAGAATATACCAAAACTATCTTGTTCCTCGGGTCACTTGGGTGTTGAACTTCACTCAGATGCTGCTAACGCCTTTAAGTTTAGTTTCCGGTCAAGGATAAAGCAGGGCGAGAGTGTTTTATTTGCATCCTAGATACAAACTTGACACGTTCCAAAGCAATCAACAGGCAGTGGAACAGCTTTGAAAGACAGCGCTACATGGAAAGTCAGCTTCACAAACGCGTAAACTCGTCCAAGGCTGTTTAGTAGTAACCTTTAGATCATAGATTTCGTGTTGGGAGAATATTAAATCGCCTAATACGCGTCCTTTTGCTATACAAACAGCCATCACGTCCACAAAGCTTCCACCATCGTTTATGGCTGTCCACACTGAAGTCAGCTTGGTTCTACGAGCAAAGTCGGAACAGTGAATCCAGCTCGGTCATCATCATTGGAAGCGCATAGAACTAATGTATGTCGAAGAGCTGATCATCGATGGCTTCAAGAGCTACGCTACTCGAACAGTTATATCTGGATGGGACTCAGAATTCAATGCCATTACTGGTCTGAACGGGTCTGGCAAATCGAATATATTAGATGCTATCTGCTTTGTACTGGGAATATCGAATTTGTCTCAAGTAAGTCCTTCTCTTATATCATTCATAACTCGCTTTTGAGTTGTCATCAACATTTTGAACTTCGCAAATGAATAGGTGCGTGCAGCCAATTTGCAAGATCTGGTCTACAAGAGAGGACAGGCTGGAATTACAAAGGCTTCTGTCACTATTGTATTCAATAATGAGGATCGCGCAAAGAGTCCCGTTGGTTATGAAGATCATAAACAAATCACAATCACTCGCCAGGTCGGTCATTGTTTGTCTCGTGCTTTGCAAGCCTACTGTCATTCTTTACACTATCACTTACACTCTCTAAACCCATATTTAGATCGTCATCGGTGGCAAAAACAAATGGATTGTCAATGGCCACAATGCTCAACAACAAGTGGTGGCAAACTTGTACCAAAGTGTACAACTAAATGTCAACAATCCACACTTTCTCATTATGCAAGGACGTATTACCAAAGTATTAAACATGAAACCTCCTGAAGTCCTCGCCATGATTGAAGAAGCTTCAGGAACGAGAATGTTTGAAGAACGTAAAGACAAGGCGATCAAGACTATGGCCAAAAAGGACAAGAAGCTTGAAGAAATCAATCAGGTACGTTTGAATCATAAAAATGAGATATCTTCAGAGACAACCTGACGTGTTTTTTTTTTTGCCCCTACTCAATAGCTGTTGGATGAAGAAATTGTACCAAAGCTGGACAAGTTGAGAGAAGAGAAACGAACTTATTTGGAGTTCCAAAAGATAAATGTAGAGTTGGATCATATTACTCGCTTGTTGGTGGCTTTCGAGTACAAACGATGCGACGTATGGCACATGAAACATGATGTTGATGTAGGTCTTTTTTCTCTCTCGCTTACACCACGTTGTCTTAGGACAAATTACAACACTCTGGACAAGAATTGCAAGCCAAGAAGGATCGAATGACAGAGCTAGACAAGCTTTGTGAAACCTTGAATGCAGAGCTTCAGGCTATGGAAGCTCGTCAAGCAGAAATAGCAGCAGAGTTAACAAAGGTAAGATCTACTCCAATTTTTCTTGGTGATTATCATCTGATTTTTCTTTTGTCTTAGAATGGAAAGGGTATGGCCGGTAAAGATGAAGAGATCAAGGAACTATCCAAGGCGATGGTTCGTTGCAGGACTCAGAGTGATTTACAAGCCACCTTGATCGCCGACGAGCAAAAGAGTCTGGCTCAGTTAATCGAAAACAAGACTGAGGTATGATGTCCTTTTGTTGCTTATCGTCATCGCACATAAATTCATCAATCCGTTCTATTAGAATGAAGGAGCTTTACAGACCGCAGAGAAAAAGCATGAAAAGATCAAGATGAAATATGATCCTCTCAAAGCAGATCACGATTCCAAAGTAACTTATCTAAATCAACAAGAAGGCTTGCTTCAAACGTTGATTACAGGAATGTCTGCTGGTGGAAAGAATGAAGCTGGCTATGCTTTTCAACTACAAGGTTTTTCCCGCTCTCTATGCATTCTACGGGTGCAAAATTGGTTTCGTTGACGTTATAATGTTTTCTAGAGTCAAAGACTGAAATGAGTAACGCAACGTCTGATGTTGATCAGACTAAACTCAAGATTGCTCAATTGCAAAAGGATGTCAAGGAAATGAAACCAAAGGCTCAGAAAGCTGCATCTGAAAACCAAAGTTTGGTCAAGTCTCTGGCCACTACAAAGGAGGCCATTGCTACGATTGAGGTAGGAGCGAAAGAAGAAAGTACGTCAAGATTCATGAAGCCACGTTGACATCTCTTCTTATAGGCTGATATTCAACGTCTCAATGTCGATCATGAACGACAAGCTGTCCTCATTCAAGACAAGAAGCATCTTGCTGACAAGATGTCTGGTCTCAAGGAGGTAAATACTCGTGATTGTCCAGTTCACGAAAGAGTCAAGTTATCAATATGACTTCGTTCATACAGCAAATCGACAGAATTTCACAAGAATTGTCCAACGTGATGTTTGAGTACCAAGATCCTACGCCAAACTTTGACCGTAAAACAGTTAAAGGTATGGTAATGGAGTTGATTTCCATATCTGAGAATGATAGAGAGTGGTCGGTGGCTGTTGAAACATGTGCCGGTGGGAATTTGCAGAGTGTGAGTCGTGTAGAAATACCAAGTATCGTAACGAGTTTCGAGAATAACCGTATTCTGCATGTCGTTAGGTGATTGTGGACACAGAGCACATCGGCAAACTAATCTTGGACCATGGAAAGTCGAGACCAGTTACCTGTCTTCCACTCAACAAGGTGATAGGCCGGAACCTAGACCCACAGGTATGATGAAGCACGTAGGAAAACCAAAGTAGTAACAGCAAATCAGCCAGAACTAATGCTGTTTACTCTGGTGTAGAGACTTGCCGCTGCCAAGAAAATCGCACCTTCAGTAATACCAGCAATAAATCTCGTTCATTTTGACGATTACTTAGAGAATCTCATGCTGACGATCTTTGGTACCACTCTTGTGTGCGAAGGTATGGGACTAACGTGTTGTGCGCAATATTTTCGTAGTTGTTGACTCTGCTCCTTAGACAAGAAAACGGCTGAAGCTGTGACATATAACAAAGCTCTCAAGATTCGATCCGTCACAAAGGATGGTGACACGTATGATCCCAGTGGAACGTTGAGTGGCGGATCCAAAGCGGCAAACAGTGGCATCCTCTTGAAGATGCAAACGTTGCAGGAATTAAAGCAGCAACAAAAAGAATTACAAACCAAGTTGGATGCTGTCAACAAGGACATGGACGCGTCAACTAAGATTGTTGCGGCTTACAACGCGTTGGTGCAAAAGAAGGCCTTGAAGTCCCATGAGATGACTTTGCTGGATGAGCAAGCTTCTACCAACTCGCATGCCCAGGTATGTCGAGGTTTTTTGTTGCCCTCAACATTTGGACCCTCTAACCAAAGTAATGATCCAAAATCATAGATCATCAAGCAAGTCTCTGACATAGAAGATCAGATCATTGAAAGCCAGAAAGCTTTAGAAACACATACTGCTCGAATAAAGACTGCATCAGACAAATGCAAATTTATCGAGAAGGAGATGGATGAGCTGGTCAATAACAGAGATGGGAAGCTCAAAGCTATTGAGGTATTGCTGTTTTGAGCTTGTGTACTGGTGATTTTCTTTTGCTAACCGCGAAACATCAAACGTAGGCTGAGATTAAGAAAGCCAAGGCTTCTATTGCTGAATGCGTTGGTAGTGTCAAAGCCCTGGATTTGCAGATTCAGGTTGCTGTCCAAGAGATTGGTAGGTTCGTTGGTAAAGACTTTGGGAACAAAAACGTCAGAGAAAACTCAAACGAAATCATTTAAAACATTTAGCTCAACTCAAGACTGAAATCGCAACCCAGGAAGAACAAATAACAGCAATGAAGAAATCAATTCAAGATAACACTACCAAGCACGAGACGATGCGAGAACAACTTGCTGCTGCCAAGGTATGGGCCTTGCCATGGCTGCTTTTGTTGCATATATAACTCTCTCATCTACAAACACATGCTAGGCTTCCTATGAAGAAGCAAATGCAAAAGCCGAAGAAGAACGTAAACATTTGGCTGAATTTGATACGGAATCACGCAAGTTGGAAGCAGATCGAAAATCTCATGACAAGAAAGTCAATGCTGCCAACTTGGAACGCCAGACGCTTTCACATGAATTGGATCGAGGTGTTGCTGATCGTGAGCATGCTTCAAGAGCTATACAAGCCTTGTTGAAGGAGCATACCTGGATTCCAGATCATAAGCAGTACGCGACGGTTTTGATGCGTCCTCACGATCTGATTGTTTGCCTTGTTCAAGTATTGAATAATCTATTTTCTTTTGCAGTACATTTGGAGAAAAAGGAACTCCTTATGAATTCACAGACGAAACTGTCAGTGAAGCGAAGAAGAGGAAAAAGCAACTGGAGGATCGAAATGATCATTTGAGGCATAATATCAATCCTCAGGTCATTGACATGCTTGATCGGTGAGCCAGTTTTCTTGAATACGTCCCCTTTTTGTCTAATCGCCCGCTGTGTATCTAGAATGGAGAAGCGAGAAACATCATTAAAGCAGATGCTTGCCACCGTGAAGAAGGACAAGACCAAGATTGAAGACACGATAGCTTCACTAGATGAATATAAACGAGAGGCATTGCAAAAGACCTGGGAGAAAGTCAATGGGTAATTTGACGCTGATGCCTTTTTTGTCTCAGCCTTGATGCTCATACCCTCATACACAAATTTAGTGACTTTGGGTCTATATTTGGCGAATTGCTATCTGGCAATTCGGCTAAATTGGAGCCTCCTGAAGGAGCAGATATCACTGATGGGCTAGAGATCAAAGTGCGTTTGGGCACTGTTTGGAAGCAAAGTCTTACAGAGCTTTCTGGTGGTCAAAGGTAACTTGTTACATGCACATTTGGGTGCAACATAGAATAAAATTATTCACACATCTGTTTGAATGGATAGATCACTGATTGCGCTATCTCTCATCCTATCACTACTCCAATTCAAGCCTGCACCAATGTATATTCTCGACGAAGTCGATGCAGCCCTCGACTTATCACATACTCAAAACATTGGGCACTTGCTTCGCACTCGATTCAAAGGCTCACAATTCATAGTGGTGTCTTTGAAAGATGGCATGTTTAACAATGCCAACGTACTCTTCAAGGCCAAATTCCGTGAGGGTGTCTCTACTGTGGAAAGACACGCCCAACGTAGCAGTAATGGTGGAAGTGGTGCGGCTAGTGTTCAAAAGGCCGTACCTATGAGCACTGGTGGCAAAAGGAAAGCTAGTGCTGTGAGGAGGGCTGATGTTGGTGTTGTCGGTAGAACATAGTTCTTTTGTAGAAAGGAGGGGAGCTAGTTATTGTATATTTGATTTGTTATCGTAATATAAAACCATCATTTGAGGTTTCGTGTAATAGCTGTGTTGTATAGTTCAGGCAGCGTACATTTTTCATGTCCTTCTCTATATATGTTGCTGTTCTGTTCTAATCAACGTTTCTATTCAGAACCTGGACAACTGGAGATCTAGACAACATAATTGTTGGTCTGAGAATGAGGTTGGTGACAATGAAAGAAACTTGGAGAAAAGAGAACACTTACCAGAGAGCCCTCAATGCAGCCTTCAACTCTTAAAAGTCAGAGTCAAAACGTTCTCGAAGAGCGGCAGTCGCAGAATTCTCTTGAATAGGCAACGGGTCAATGGCTACGAGTTGGTCGTGTAGCTTGCCAATACCGAGATGGCATACCAACTAACATGAGTATTAGAGCCACACACTATTCCAGCTACGTATTCACGTTGAGGAGTACATCACCAGCCTCACAGTTGAGCTCATGACGGTACCAGACAACACACCCTCGTTCAAGTGAAATCATGTTTGAAAGTGCGTGCAGCATAGCATAACAGACCACGTTTCGTAGAGTTCCAAACGGTCAAATGGCAAATTCGACCAAAAAAACCGCTCATGTTGCACCGGCATAAGCAGGCCTTCGTCTGAAGACTCCTGCCTCTCAGATGAATTAACAACAGTTCCGCTAACTCTCATCACACCCGACTTCCAACTCTCAGAAACCGCCATGTATTAGCAAGAATCCCAAAAGTGTACAATCTCCACCACACACCCTCAAACCTCAACTACGTCTCAAGCAAATACTTATCAACAGGATTATGTAATATGTTCTGCGTAACCGCACCTCCAACAATACGTTCCAGCTTTAGCACATCGTATTTCGAAAACAGAATCGAAACAGTGCCACCTTTTTTTTCCATCATGTTTAGCAGCTCGACGTAATGTTCGGCATGGTCAGGGAGGGAGTAAAAGACAATGTTTTGGATGCCTTTGAGATTGTATCTGTGGAAGGGAGATTGGAGTTAGACATGCAAAAAACGAAAAATAGATTATTGAAGTATCATACCGATGGAAGTAGTGGATACGTTCAGTGTATAACATGACCTTGAGGCGCCCTTGGAAGAATAGAGCACGATCGCGCGATACCTTGGATTTCGACGTGTACCTATTTGAAAGCGTTCCATTAATCAGGTTTTTTTTCTCGTTTGTAAACATATATTAGCTGAACACTGCGAACTCACTCGCTCAATCCAGCAAACTCGACTGAAACTGATGATAGGTGATTTCGTAATCTCACGAAATCAAAGTAGGACGGTATCATAATCAATGTTTGTGGGTGTGTGTTGCGATGAATGGATGGGAGAATCTATTCATTAACTCCTCACTTAGATTTTTTTGCTTCATCCCAACAAGAGCAAATCTTTCACACTTACATTAGTAACAAAGTAATTAAATCTAGCATCATCCACTTCCGAAATGCTCGAGGACGGTATTCTCAAAAACACCTATCGTTCGAGACTATGAGTAAACATGTTCCTCACTTACAAAAAGCCTTGGTTGCAATTGCGCAAAGACATACCTGTGGAGTTTGTAGAACCACTTGATTCGTGATGCCATGAGAAACAGTTCTTGTTCGACATCTTCCACCAATATCTATACAAAGTGAGGGTTGTGTGTGAGTTGCACGCAATTTCAAGAGATAAGACATCGGGTTTTTGTTTCTTACTTGTCAGAGAGTTAAACAAGGAATTAATTTCAGGAGTCACGAAACTCGTAAAGCAAAGTGTTTGTCGAAGATACTTTGCCCTATCAACGGAAAATGTTGAATAATTCCACTTCTCATAATGATCTTTTTTTGCTTCATTACACTTACTTGTCGTCAAGATACCATTGCTTGACACGAGAGAAATCACAATCATGTGCCTTCTTTGGCAGTTTGTTGAGGTTCTCAAACACGTTCTTACAAAGCAAAAAGGAATAAGTGAAATTGACTCGAACAAAAAGATTCCAGATTCAATCTATGATTTACCACAACATGATCCCAATTCTGCATCAAGAAGACATCCGTCTCATCCATAATTGTTATTTCGATTGATGATAAAAAATCAATGGCGTCGTCCCTGTAAACCAGTTCATGATCAGTATCACTAAGCGAAAAAAACAGAACACACCATACACAATACGTACTGGTCATCTCCATAAGGCAACCTCATCCCCAACGGCGACGCAACAATCACATCCGATCCATACATAGGTGCAAACAACTTAACGGATTTACGATTCAATTTGATCCCAATACGGAAGCAATCGTCTACGTTTCCTTCGAAGGTTGCTATAAAGTCATCTAGTTGGGAGCATCAACGTGTGAGTAGAAGCAATTTGATTATTTTACCATCATGATTTTTACTCATACCAGGCTTGCTAGCTTTACGTTCAGGCACATCCTTGGACGGCCCATACTCGTCCACGAATCTCTTCATATTTTCCTTTTGAGATTCACCGACGAGTGAGATCAGAGTGTGGATGATCTTGTATGCAGAGTTGCGGAATGGGACGAGGATGAGGATTTTGGGGCGGGTGAATCCTTGGTCTCGTAGATCACTACATTAGAAAGCGCAGTGAGGTTTTCCCCCCTGTTGGATTTGTTCATTCAAGGATGAGCTTACGTTTGAGTATCAGCTCTAGCGTTATTCTTGAGAATTCTGTCTCTTGTTCTATATCAGAGAGATGGGTGAGTATCAAGCACGAACCCAAAACCGTCATTACTGGATAAGGCATACATGCAAATATGATTCAAAGCATGTAAACAATAGAGGTTGCGATACTCGACTCGATTCTTGTGGTTGGCATCAGTAAACATAAAGTCTCCATAGTGACAATACTGTCTGTACATTGCTTGTTGTGTTTCTGTCATTGCTGAAGAGTTCAGCTTGAGCCATGGTTGGTGAAGACGTTGTTTCACCTATATGTGCAAAGACTGTTAGGTGATGTCAAACGTAATCTTCAATCTATCCTACCGAGAAGTCAGACAATGTCGTCCAAGTAGAAGTATCCGTCACTGGCAAGACAGTTGAAGTTGATATGTGCTGTAGTATTGGATGCTCTGAGTTGAGCGTAGTGTATTTTCGAGCTTGAACCTGAGATATAGCGTCTTGTAAGCCTTGAATGTCTTCTCCAAAGTGCGCGTCGTATGAATCTGTGAAGTAACGAGGTGTGTGTGAGTGTTTTGAGCTTGGATCTCTTGAGAGCTGCAATGCCCACTTTTGTTGGCAGTGGTGGTGGGAGATTCTAGGTATTCTTTTACGAATTAGATATCGTTTCAAATAGATCCAATACAATACTATGTCTCGTACCTTGTTCCTCCTCAGCATAAGTTTCTTCAACATGCTCGATTTTTTTGACGTTTTCAGGCTCTATATCTGGCACGATCGCCCTAACTTTTTTGAATTGCAAGCTTTTATTCGTGGCATTAGACTCGACAGCCTTCCTTTTCGCCACCTTGGAGATCTTGCTGTCCACCATCGTCATATCCTAGTAAATTACTGGCAAAAAAAAAAGTGGTAAGCAGACCAACAAAGATGGAAGTCGAGGAAGAAGGAGAGGCCGCAGCAGCAGATCAAGTGCAGCCAGACGCACCTGTAGATGCACCGCCTGTAAACAAGAACAAGCGATATCGTAAAGAGAAGCGTATGTGTTTTTGGACATTTGCAAGAGAAAACGACACATTTACGATCTTTCCAACCAATAACCTATATATCATTACTAGCATGGGACACTGATGACATTGACAAATGGGCCATACAGCCTTGGAAACCCGAAGACAACACGGCTCCCTTCCTCGACGAGAGCTCATTCGCTACATTGTTTCCAAAGTACCGTGAATCCTATCTCAGAGAAATATGGGGCCAAGTCACCCAAGTCCTCGAAGCCGTCGTATGTACTGATGCGTGGGAGTAGTGTTGATGCCGGGATCTCCGATTAGCTCTCATTAACACCCAGTTTTTTTTGCTTGTAGGGAATCGCTTGTGTCCTGGACTTGATTGAAGGCAGCATGACTGTCAAAACTACAAGAAAGACAAGAGATCCTTACATCATATTCAAGGCTAGAGATCTCATCAAAGCTCTGGCTAGAAGTGTCCCCATTCAACAGGTATCGTTAAAGCAAGCAAAAAATATACAAGCATCAATCAAGCTACATGACCAACGCTCCTTTCAGGCCGTACGATCTCTAGAAGACGGCATAGCTACAGACATTATCAAGATTGGAAACATTGTACGAAACAAGGAACGATTCGTCAAAAGGAGGCAGAGGCTTATTGGTCCCAATGGAAACACCCTCAAGGTATTGCATTCTCTTGCATCATCAAGCAAAAAACGGAGATGATAGCTGGACGCCATTGACTCTTTTCATTCAACCACAGGCCATTGAACTCTTAACAAACTGCTATGTATTGGTACAAGGCAATACAGTTACGGCACTAGGTCCACATAAAGGATTGAAGGAGGTCCGGAGGGTTGCTATGGACTGTATGAAGAATATTCATCCTATCTATCATATCAAGGTAAAAAAAGGGTTCGATTTGCAAATGGATGGTTGTGCTTTTGACATGGAGTTGTAGACATCCTGCGACGTCAAGGCTAACCTCATCTACCTGTATACAGGAAATGATGATCAAGCGAGAATTAGCAAAAGATGAAAAGCTCAAGAATGAAAGCTGGGATCGATTCCTCCCACATTTCAAGAAGAAGAATATCAAATCAAAGCCGAAAGAAATCAAGGAAAAGAAGAAGTATACACCATTCCCACCTGAACAGACTCCTAGAAAGGTATTATTGGTGCAAGTACGCCATTTTTGTTTCTGTGCTAACATTAGCTCGCCCAGATTGATCTACAAATCGGAAGTGGAGAGATGGCTGCACAAGCAGCTCAAATGACCAAAAAGAAAAAGAGGAGGTCGACTGAAGGTGGTGATGATGGTGGTGCAGAGAAACAGAACAAGAAGGTCAATGTTGACACGTCAGCTGGTGATAATGATGTTGTGATGGATGATGCTAAACCTGTGACTGAGGGCAAGAAGAAGAAGAAGAAACGATCCGCTGATGCTGATAATGAGTAAAAGTTGCATATATATAGTCTTTTCAATATTTGAATGTCGTTTCGATGAAAGGCAGCCTGAAAGTTCCAGCCGTTACGCGTTGTTTCCGACAATGCGGCAGTCGGCAGTTCAAACGCGTCACAATAATCACCATCAACTTTTTTTTGGTTAGTGACCCGACACATGTTTTTCTCAATTCCATCGTGTTTTCATCAACCCCCACACCAAAAAGCATGAACAACCCGCTCTTTGAGGCCATCAGACAAAACAACATTGGCGGTGTCAAAGCACTTCTCGACCCCAGATCCACTGACTCGCATCATGGAAAACGCCCTGTTGAAGTCAACACCAGGGACGTGTATGGACGAACTCCACTCCAGTTAGCTGTCTCGCTGGGAAACATGGCTATCGTGACATTACTACTGAATGTCCCTCGTGTTAACGTCAATATCCCGGATATCGAGTCTGGCTGGACGCCCATGCATCGTGTAAGTTCTTGTTGAGATTTCATCCAAACATTGGCTAGTGTGATTTTGCAGGGAGGGAGGAGAGGAGAGTGAGTCTGAGCCATGGAACGAGGCGAAATCATGCTTATTTCTATAATGCAAGACGTGATGTGTTGGATATATGCGCAGTCAAACGTTGGAACGTGGTCAAAACAACGTGATTTTGTTGGTTGATTGATTGATGGGTTGACTATCAATGTTTTGATTAGGCACTGTATGGTGGAAACCTGGATATCGCGCTCGAGATTCTTAGGACGCGGAGTGATTGTGATTTGAGTATACGGGATTATGAAGGGAGCACGTGTTTGGAATTGTTAAATGTGAGTTATACGCCCACCGGATTTTGCATGGTTTTTTGCGCATAGGAAGGAAATATGTTGACTCCCTTCTTCCAACCTAGTCGTCCATCGAGCAACCAAAACCAGGAGCATACTCGTCTATCGCCAAGAGTATAGGTAGTGGAGGCGATGAGAGTGCTACTGTCACTACCGCAACTACAGATGAAGAGCAAGGGAATACCAGCTCATTGATTGAGAATCTATCATGTACGAGTGTGTGGACTTGGGGAGTTAATAGTAATTATGTAAGTGGAGAAAATGTCGTGGTTTAAGAATACGACAAAATAAGCTCTTACACTCGCTTCATATTCATAGGTGTTGGGACATCAAAACTCAGACAACCGCACATTCCCTGAACGTGTTATAATACCAGTACCCAGTGACATTCCCGTCACAATCGATACCCTACAGTGTTTCCAACCACACCACCATTCGATAAACATATCCAAATACCATACAGCCATTGCAACCGACCAAGGACTGTATCTGAACGGTTTTGGAGTCGGTGGCAGACTCGGACTCGGCGACGAAGAAACACAGCTACGGCCGACCCTCGTCGACGGTGTTCGTGGCGAAGTATCGCAAGTAGCGCTGGGGCCTGACCATACCGTGGTTTTGACTTCCCATGGACAGGTTTTCACGTGGGGAAGTAACAGGTATGGACAGCTGGGGTATCCGACTGATGATGAGAATGGTGAAGGTGGTGGGATGGGGAAGAATGCGTCTCCACAGGAAGTGCTGGGTGCATTGAAAAAGGTGGTGATTTGTGGGATTGCGGCTGCCAAATTTCATTCTGCTGCATATTCGCAGCAAGGGCTATTGTACACCTGGGGGATGAATATTGGGCAGTTAGGTAAGATGTAATCTCTTCGTCATCATTGAGTTAGTTTTTTTTGCTGGTCTTAAACTTCAACTATGCGAAATTTTCAGGTATGCCTATTGCTGCAAGTGCTCCGTTAATCAATGCACATCCACGAAAAGTCACATCGTTGCCACAAATGGATATTGTTCAGATTGCTGTGACTAACAATGCTACGGCAGTGTTGAATGCTTCTCATGAGGTGGGTGTGCAACCAGCAACGATTTATCTTTTTTGTCGCCTTTACAAACTTTACCATCTAGGTCTACGTACACGCTGAATTCCACTGGCAAAAGCTCTCCTTCCCATTCCCATCCTTCCCACGTCGCATGAAGGTCCATCAAATTGACCTGACACCCCCGCATATCGTGAAAATCGTCGGAGGCAGCAACCAACATCCTGGTGCCCACTTATTTGCTGGTGTCTCATCCTCTGGTGATGTCTTCATGTGGTCTCCACCTGATAAAGTATACGCAGATACATGGCAGCAAGTCACGTTTCCTCAACGTAGACCGAAACGTGTATGGAGAACACGGAAGAAGCATTTGGCTGCGAGAGATGTTGCTATTGGAATTGATAGTAATTTGCTGGTTAGGACGGAGAGTGGACATGTGTTTACGGGGATTAGAAGGAAAGAGGCCAAGATTCGGGAATCTTTGTCTGATAGCGGTGACGTTACGTATTTCAAGGTATGAGCTGAGTGCAACACAAGCTTTTTTTCTGTGTACTGCCGCTCAGGTCTAATAGTGCAAGCTCTCTGATTAGTATACCAAAGTACCATTCCTGCAGCACATTACGACCGTCGTAGCATCCGAGAACGGAGCCTACGCTGCAATCCGCGTGGACACTCGACCACCGCCTATAGATATAACACGTGCATCTCTACCTTCTGATATGCGTCGTGCCTTCGCATCATCAAAGGCCTTGTCAATACTACCGCCAGATGTCCGTGACTTGGACGACTCTCCTCGACCCGTGATATCAGGTCGCGATCTCATGGACGATTCGATGTGTGACGTGATTATAGAGTGTGATGATGCACGACTACGTGCTCATGCTGCTGTCTTAGGAGCGCGATCTAGGTTTTTTGGAGACATGTTGGTGCATCCTACCCAACCAGTTGAAACTAAAGGGGATGTGAAATTTATTGTGTCTGCTATTGATGCTGAAACGACACACGTGAAGGTTAAAGGGTGTCATGGTGTTACGATGGGACTGGTGCTTGAATTGATATATACTGGAGCTCGGAGGCGGTATTGGGAAAACATATATATAGATCGTGAAAAGAGTGCAGAGCCGTCGCCTGCTACTGTCAAAGCAGAGTATTACAGGATGTTGAGACTTTTGGGTGTTGATGATACGAATACGTCTCCGTCATTGCCAAAACCGGCTGTAATGCTGTCTAGGTCTTTTACAACGATATTGCCGACTCTTAGTAACAACAGTAGTAATGGTAACGACGCACCTCCATTCACAGACGTCTTACTACGTCTAAAAGATGGAGATGTTGGAGCCCATCAAATCATTCTCGCGTCCCGATGTCCCTTCTTTGATGCCATGCTAGGTCCATCATCGCCATGGACCATACAAAAAGTGAATGGAATGTCAGTAGTGTCACTCCCTCACTTGTCCTGGAAACGACAAATGGATGTAGTCATGCTCCACATGTACTCGGACGCATCAGCTGAAGATGTCTTTGGACGAACGGAAGCATCCGACATCCACGAATGGACTGAAGTTGTTGTGAATGTATTCGCAGCAGCAAATGAATTGTTGCTCGATCGTCTTAAAGACCAGTGTGCTTCTATACTAGCCATGTCTATAGATTTGACGAATGTCATCTCGCTGCTGGAGATTTCGGACATGTATGATTGTCCCAAGCTGGATTCATCGTGTCTGGACTATCTATGCTGGAATGTCGAGACGGCTGTTGAGACTCGCATGTTGGAGAATTGTGATCCGAGTGTTATTGCGAGGATTACGGAGGCGCTGAAAGCTATGCAGGAAGAACATCAGCCTTATGTGAGAGGTCCTGATGGGTATTGGGAGGTTGCGAGAGAGAAGGCTAGGGTTTTGGAGGAGGAGCAAAAGCAGAGGAGAAGAGAGATGCATAGGGCTGCTGCTGCAGAGTCCAAATTATTGGTATGTCGTCTTGGGATTTCGATGCTCACGAGAAAAAAAAAATAAACAAAATTTCCTCATAGGGCGCTTCGCCATCACTGGTTTCACCATCGCTGCCACCAATGATTGGAGAATCTCCGGCTATGAGACCAACTTCAGCAGCTTCACCATGCATGCGACCGTCATTAATGGATAGTCCGAGTCTATCACCTGAAGACACTATCTTTGAAATGGATTTAGGTGATGGTGCTGCAACTGCTTCTTCTGGTACTTTGAACCGACTACCAGGTAATAATAAACTGGTGCCTTCAGTCAGTGCGGACTCTCTAGACAGCAAAAGTGGCAAGAAGGTTGTTTGGCAGAAATTAGATTTAGGACAACCTGCCTTGTTATCTGTTCCTGCTGCAACGAAGTCAATGTCATCGTCGTCTGCTATTACTGAGGCTGGGAAGAGTACGAGGAGGTCGAATGAGAGTGTTGATGGTGGTGGTGATTCGGATGTGGGTGTGTCTGGGAAGGTGTGGGAGAGTACTTCGGTGTAAGTGTTGTATAAACCTTCCAGATTTTTTCGCGCAACTTTCGCTGACTTTGAATCTGTTTATATAGGAGGAAGGTATCGTTACGAGACATTATGGAACAGACAAGTACATCTTCAGTCGATAAACCCATAGTATCTCCTCGACAATCAATTACGTTTGATCGCGTTCCTATAAAGACTGATATACGGCAATTTGGAGATAATCCAACCCGTGATGTATTCACAACTGTAACATCTGCTAGTGGAACAACCAGTGGTAGTGCAGGTGCAAGTGGTAGTTATAGCAGCGCACAACGAGTGCGCCCACCACCGTGGCAATCCCCAACATCTGGGCCCTCCTCAGGATCACCATCTATATCATCAACACCAGCAGCATCACAATCTTCATCATTCGTTGACCTACCATTCAAAATCACACCAGACAAGACAATGTCGCAGAAAGAACGGAGACGGTCTGCTGGTAAATCGAATGCTACATCACCGACTCTTGGACCTAGCAAATCGCCTGGACAGCATTCATTGACGTCTCCAGTCTTGTATCCGGGACAATCGTCGGGACGTACGGTGCCGTTTGATACGTCGCCGAGAATTGCGGGTGGGAATGCACTGACGGCTGCTAGTCCGCCTGATGGGAGAGCGGTTTGGGGGAATAGTGGTGCAAGTAATGCGGCCATGGTACCTGCTGCTGGTGGTTCAAGTAGTGCTGGGAATGCAGGTGCTAAGACTATGAAGCAGATACTTGTTGAGGAAGAGTTTTGGAGAAAGCAGAGTTTGGAGAATCGGGGCGGGTTGTCTAGTAGCCCGAGTTTGTTGAGTGGGGCGTTTAGTATGGCTGATTTCAGGTACGTGTGCCCTTTGGACGAGCAAAATAAATGATAGTGATATTCTAGGACAGTCAACTGACTCACACATTCAACCTTCTCTTAGATTACCACCAGCATGGGTGCCACAATCATCATCACCACCAATCCGTGGCTTCCCAGCCATGCCATCCATATCAACCGCGTCGCCACCACCAACCAACTTTTCAGCTATACAAGCTGAACAGGAAGCTGCTGCTGGACTAAGAGCACGTAAACTAAAGAAGTCGTTGGAACGGATCCAGTATGAGGAACGTGCTGTTACTGGTTTGGCGCAATATTATCGACAGACTAGTGTGCCCGGGAGTGGAGAGTGGATTTCTATAGTGCAGATCAATTGAGTTAGGAACTAGAAGTAGTAGTGTAGACCTCATGTGTATGAATATAATATATATGCGCCGGTTAGTAGTAAACGGAAGTTCGGGTTTGAGGCTGGTTTGTGAACTCAAGCAATTGTAAAAGTAGGAAGAAGTAAATTGTCTCAGAGTGTCTTATCGCTGGAATTGTTGTATCATATGTGTGTTTGGGTTTGCTCGTCGCGATAGTGTTTGGATGCTCGTTTCCCAATATTCGTCTGAAAGAGATCCAGAATACGTGGTGGTAGCCAATGTATTGATTGAACTTACGTGTCCGATTGCAAAAGCCTCCTCTTTACCTCCTTGACACGTTCCATTAATCTTGAGAAGAAAGGGAAGGAATGTCAGGTATTTTATGGAGGAAGAAAATACAACTGTATTCACACAATAACGACTAGACAAGTCCCAAACTTGAACCATCTTTAAAGTAAGATCCGCTTGATGTGTTGTTATTGTTTCGTACTATTCTGTGGATGGTGGATGCTAGATGACTCGTTTGCGTCATTCCACAATATCAAAAACTCGCTGAAATTCCGGAAAAGCCCGTGTCTCCGTATCTCCCGAGCTAACCGTGTTCCTTTTGCATCACCACAGTATCTCACAATGGACGCTCTTCAGAGCCGAAGAAGCCTCATCTCCCTGTTTTTCGCTGTCATTTTGCTCATCCTTGTACAGAAACTTAAGAGGGTGGACATACTACGAAATGAGCAAAATATGATTGAAATTGACGTGATGTTAACTTTATGCGTGTTCTCTAGATGTCCTCGCCACGTGCCGTTAGGTCTCGCGAAACCGTCAAGTCATAGAGGGAGGAGGGAGGAACGAAAGAGATCTCATTAACACGAATTTATCACAAAAAGGAATCTGGCTCAAAGGGACTAAAGGTATGATGCTTATGGAAGATGTTTCTTTGTCCTTTATGTAGTGTTTGAGCTTGGAGCCTCGTTTGCGGCAGTTTGAAATGTTTGGAACTGGCTTGAACTTCGAGAAAGCGCCGTGTCGTCGCACCCCTTACGCTAACACTCCTCTATCAATTAAGATAGCTTTCCAATATGGACTCTTCTTCAACAAAAAAGGCTCAAGTAGCCGAGCAAATCGCTGTACTCCTTTTCCTGGTAGTGCTCATCCTTATGCTAGTGATTTCCATTTCTACGTTCGGGTAAGTACAGACTCTAACTTTGCCACCAATACTATTAAAGAATGGCATAAAAACTCACATGAATTATCTAGATTTTTTAAAGTCACATACGTCATGTTTGGATTGGTCGCAATATTGGGATTAGCTCCATCACTGGAATCAGTCAACACACCCAACTCGAATAAAAACAATAAAAATGACGTCAAATCAAGGTCATGGGACGATTGGTTTGAAGAGGCCTTGATTAGGATTGCTGACAAGAAGGTCCAAGTTGGTAAGAGTAAGTCTCACGGTTTTACGTTCCTTTGACTTCGGCTTTGCCCATTCAACAACAGGCAAACGAATGCTCATTATTGAGAGCTCGTGTCCGAGAATTAGAAGCCCAATTGGCAAATTCTTCTAAATCTGCTCACGGCAAGCTACACTCTCTAAAACGGCATTCTGTATGTATTATTGGCAAACAAGATGCTGAGATTAAGAGTTTCAAGAGTGAGTGGAGGGATTGCACCTTGTTTTTGTTGAGCTTAACGATGAGCTTCACGAGATGGTTCTATTTGACTTTGTAACTGAAGTTTGGTTTTCTTTTTATGCTAGGTCAAACTTACACACAGGCACAGGAAATCGAGTGGCTCCTTCGCTATCCACGCAAACGGCCAGAAAAGAATAGTATGACAGGTTGTAGGAAGTCTGTTTTGGAACGGTGAAGCTCCAATTATCAAAGGGATGATTTGGAAAAGAATAGCTCATTCGAAGTCACCGTCATGTAAAAAAGCATCAAACCACAAAAGCACACATAATGCCAAAAGCCGTAGTAAAGAACCTCATGTAAAATATGCCCGCTTGTAAACACCTCCAATATAAGCTGTATGAGTCCCAATCTTGTCTGCAATAAAACTTATTGTTCACTTTTACAAAGTCTTAAAGCGTGATATGTGGAAAACCAACAAGGGTTGGCTCCATCAAAGAATATCCAGCATCCGAGTCCACCACTGGTCTCTTCTTCTCAGCGCAATGGTTTGACACACAGAAAGGTGTTTCTGGCAGCTGGTTGCTGTGATGGCGGTTTCCAAATATCTTTATCTAGATTTGCTGAGACTGAGAATGCTTGATTGTCTGGTTACCTTTCCAAAAACTGCCATTTCAAGTAGTTCTAACTCCTTTTGTTCTGTGGCCTGACAGGTTTTATCTAAATTATACGAGACAAGACCGGAGTCAAGCCAAAAAAACCCTGAAACGTTGGTCAACTGTCGTTACACATCTTGACTATCCGCATTTCCTTCTTGATCACCATTGTCACCAGCTGCGGATTCAATAGCATAGTACTCGATGATTCTACGCATTTCACATGATTGGACCAGCTTCATTTAGCATCCCAAATCCACCGCAGCATCACGTCCATGAGAGTGAGGTAGTATTGAGACCTTCAAACGGTGTCAGGCCTGGTGCTGCTAGTGTTGTGCGACCTAGCAAACAACTGGGCAAACACGTTACGAATTGTCTAATAGGCCCCTGGATGGACACAAAAAGTGATGGATAATACCTGCAATTGTATACCATTCAGAAAAGTATGAAAAAAAGTCTGCCGCAGACCACTCCTTTGTATAGCAATATTGTTCTCGTTCGTTGTTTGGTGGATCACAAACTGACACCTTCAAACTGACCTGATCAGAGGGTGAGCACACCACGAAGCGCTTTGAATAGCGAAATAAGCTGCAGCGACACGTACCCGACTCGTTCTGTCGTGTTTGAATTGATATGGATTGAGTAAATGATGATGAAGACCTCATGCGACTGGAACGTCTCGCCGCAGTATGAATATGTTATATAAGGATTTCCTATGTTAATTCTATAGATATTAGTTTGTTTACTACTTCCAGGCGTTGTGTGGCATGCACTTCAAATTCCAAAAATCACAATTGACAAGATACATTGAATGACACCCAAAACCCTCAAAGAACAAGCCCACGACATATAGAGACAATGTCGAATACTCCGCCCGACGAGCATAAGCAGATAACTGCCAGTCCGTCGTCAACTTTGAGAAGCATCTTGTCTCGCTTTACAGGAGCTAGCTCAGCTGGACGAAAGGCTGATAGACCACATCCGTATGCAAGGCCTGACAAGGTATGAATACATATTCCGACTGCTATATACGCATCGCTCCCTGTCTATTACTCGTTTCATCGCATAACATTGCAAGCATTTGAAGCATCACAAAACACATCAAATTGACATCTTATCCCTCCTTTTCTTATACCAGCCTCAATCTGGAATCAGCCCTTCTACTTCTGTCGGGTGGATAATGGAAGGATTGAAAAAAATCATCCCTTCAACTCCTTCTGCTGCTACAACAAGACCAAATCATGACGACGAGCAGACCAAAGCGGACGAGCTCCATGAAACGTAAGCTTCTTTACTACCCGCACAGCTCCTGAAACGAAGACATACTCATCAAAATTCATTGTGCTAGCGGGATGTCTTCAAATGGACTGAACGGAAATGATACCTTTGTAGCTCCTGAACCTCCAAGGTTCTCTCGTCCTGGTCAACTATTCAAGCTGCTAGATCCAGAGCCTATTCCAACCGTAGCTCAGCCTGTAAGAGAATCACCAAAAAAGGCCGTTCTGATAGCTGCTGGACAATCAGTGCTGCGAGCTGCCGAAACTGGTGACTGGTCTCGTGAGCAAGCTGATGAGTTGGTGAAAACCATCCAAGCTGCATGTAAGTGCCAATAGAAGCTGATCCGCTCTGGATATGCCTGCTCAACTGGTCTTTACCGTTTTTAGCACTCCCTCAGAATTCTTACATTCCTGAGATAGCTCCACGTCGAACAGCGTTTGGCCAGACTCCCTTATTTAGTTTGCCTCCACCACCGATTCTACCACCATCACCAATAGCATCAACAACTACAGCAACAATCCTTCCCACGGTGCCAATACTCCAAAGACCATCAAATATTCCGCTACCAGTGCAAACTCGTAGACCTCTAAGACGGCGTACGCCTGTCTTTTATGGCGCTGGTATGGCATCTACAGTTCATCTGGCCCGTACTCGTAGGCAGTTACCGATTGCTCGACCACTGCGAACTACTTTTCCAGCTCTTTTTGGACCGTCTGATAATGCCCCGGCTGCTAAACGACAAAAGCTCGATGACGAAGAACGACCTGGTAGTGTATCTCCCAATCGCTCCCTTGTAAACGCAAACAATGAGCAACCCAAGTCGTCTAAAGATAAAGGTAAAGCAGCAGCAGCACCGCAAAAGCCAACCTTTGTAAATGCTTCACCACCAAAGAATTTCTTGTCTGCCACGCCATCATCTGTGGCACATAGCGGTATTCCTTCGTTTGGTGCAAAATCATCATCCTCGTTCAATGCACCATCACATGTTGGCAGCAGTAATAACAAACTAGGCAGTCCACTGATGCAAAGTCCAGGTCTGAAAAAGAGACCGGCTGTTGAAATGCTACGCGACGAGTCTCCAGATGTCGCTGACAAGACTATACATAAAGGATCGTTTGATCAACGGCCAACGCCATACAAACCATCTGTCAGATCTCTATCACCAGTTAAACCACCAACCGAGTCGATAACTATATCATCCTCGCCGATCAGAGCACCACCTGCAAAAGCAAGTACGAGACGATTTGCCGCACCACCTTCTGAAGAACCAGAAGAACCGGTTGCAGCTGTAAGGCGATCGTCATCACCTCTTAAATCTAATAATGTAAGGCGCATCGTAGAAGAAGATGATGATGTCATACTTATCGAAGATGAGGATGACGAACAAGTAGGAGATGATGAAGAGTACGAAAGTGACCAATTGGCATCTAGTGAAGCTTCAGGAAGG